GAATTTTGGATACATATTTTTTTCAAAGGAAAAGATATTTCACGGATAAATTCGAGACACCGGATAAAATATGACTTCTATTAAGATTTATTCCTTTTTATTTTTATTATTTTATATTCAATATAGTTGAACATTATTGTCATTATTGTCCAATGAAATTTGCGTAGGCACTTAAAAGTACTGTTATGGTACTGTAACATAATTTTTTGAGGACGCCATAACTATTTGCCATGATTATACTTCTTATTTTGCATTTTGAATTGTTCGCTGTGTTGTGATGTTTAGTTTAAACATATTGTATTTACTCATAGCATGGAAGTATTATATTGACAATATGTTCAGTGAAAAATGGATTGGCCACAAGTAAATCATACTTATGCTGCTGCAGCCAGATTATTAGATAAAAATGCACGTGGATATCCACAAATATTCCGGTGCAGTGCCAGAAAATGACTAACCTGCTCTAGGATATCTTTTAATAATACTGTTAGGTCAACAGTGAACGCGAGAGCTTTTTCGCTTTCCTTTTCCTGTGACATTACATGAAAAACTCAAATCCTCATTTATCTGGTTACTTGAACAAAGCCAAAGTGTGGTATACAATATGTCGGACAAACAGGACGGGAATTGTTTAGACGAACACAGGAACATCAACTTATCGCGTATATCTAATGACTTTGCCATTCAAAGCTGTATACCTCCCTATTTTGATAACACAGAACCACCTATTTTTTCGTATACATACAAAAAATCCAACAGAAGTTTAATTTTTAACTATACGTCAGTAACATGAGACGTCTATGTAGAAAATAATACTCCTCTAACTTGAGACTGTGAATCGTCGAATTTTAGATATGATCCCTATGCCCATGTTATTACGTGGGACCTCAATATCATTCATTCGGTCTTTCGAGAGGTTAAAAACTTTTTGAAAATAGGACAAAAATATCGTCCTCCATCTAAAATAGATTGGAAACAATGTCGTCAGGTCATAAAAGACACTTTTTCATCGTATTGTAAAAATTGGTGTACACGGGAAAAATCTGATAAAAAACATCTTGATTCTTATTTAAATGTATGAATGTTGTGGATATTCGAATATCACATTTTGAAAAACAATTCAGAAATGAATAAAAGAGTACATAATACGCCTATTTCTAGAATAAGAAACAAACTTCAAGTACTTTCAAAACGGTTTGTGTTTGTACGGGCCGACAAAGCAGCCATCAGTGTGGTGGTGGTATGCCGTAAATACTACACGGACGTTCTTAAGAATGAAAGTTTAAAACTTCTATGAAAAGAGTGGAATTAAGTATTTTTGGAGTGTAAAAAATCTTTGGATGTTTTAGATAAATTACGTGCTTTTGATGTTCCTTTTGATTCTGTTGACAGTTTTGACTTTTCAACTCTTTACACTACACTTCCATACAATCTTATCAAACAAAAGTTTTCATATTTAATTAAATGGTCGTTTGGTAAATCTGAATGCAAATATATTTGCTGCAACTCATTTAAAGCCTTCTTCTCTAATGAGAAAGGTAAATATGATAGATATACTTACTGGAGGTGAGATGAGATGATTGAAGCTGTTAATTTTCTCCTTGATAATATTCATGTACGTTTCGGCAATAAAGTTTATCGACGGGTTGTAGGAATTCCTATGGGCACCAATTGCGCCCCTTTAATAGCAGACGATTTTTCGTTCCCTATTGTTAATTTTCCTTTTTTGGACGGCGATGTTCCTTTGACACCATCTTACGGTGTTTATATATCACAACTCGTTCGCTATGCCCGTGTCTATTTTAACGTTTTGGATTTCAATGAACGTAATCTATGTATTACTGGTAAATTATTAAGTCAGGGATTTCGTTACCATAAAATCACTTAAAACCTTTACTAAATTCTTTCATAGATATAAAGATTTGGTTTTGAAGTTTGGTTCCACCTGTAGAAAACTTATTTCAAACGGGATAGCACATCCTCATTTTTACGGAGATGTTGTTTACCAAGCCCGGAAATTTGGAAACGATCCGGGTAAATTTATAGATCCTTTAATTAAATAAACTTATTCTAAAAGGTTACCAATTCAACACTGTAATTAGATCTTTGAATATTGTTTTATTGGTATTAATATTGATTTTGTTATCAGTAAATTAAAATCAAACTAAATATTATTTTTATATATACATATTTGCACATTCATGGCTCTACAGTCTGTCGACACCTGTATCATGGCATTGCACAAGGTCATGTTTTTCTCTGACTGATTATGACGTCTTTACATTAAATCCATTGGATGTTGGATGTGTACTGATTGGTATTTTAGTCTATGATGCATGATTTTTTTCATTAGTTGTTATTGGCTTTGAACTAGCTGTCAGTAACTGCGAGTACTCTCAGATCTGCACTTAGTGTCTTTCTGTTGTGTGGATGTATAAGTACCAGTCCACGTCCACTTTGTATTTTTTTTAGATGTATTTCTATTTGTATCCATCTTATGAGTTAAGCCTTTTTCAACTAATTTTTATAGTTTGTTCTTATGTTGTACTGTTACACTATTGTCCCAGGTTAGGGGAGGGTTGGCGCCTTCAAACTTGTTTAACCCCGTCACATTATGTATGTGTATTTCCCAACTCCCAAGTCAGGAGCCTGTAATCCAGTGGTTGTCGTTTGTTACTTTGTAATATATTTGTTTTTCGTTCTTTATTTTGTACATAAATTAGGCCGTTAGTTTTCTCGTTTCAATTGTTTTACAATTGTCATTTCGGGGCCTTTTATGGATGACTATGCGGTATGGGCTTTGCTCATTGTTGGAGGCCTTACGATGACCTATAGTTGTTAACTTCTGTGTCATTTGGTCTCTTGTGGAGAGTTGTCCCATTGGTAATCGATCGTAATCATACCACATTTTCTTATTTTTTTTATTATGAAGTCTGCTCCGAATAACAATATATGACATATATGAACATGCAATATTTCAATGTATACAATAATTTCCAAGTCGAGCTGTTGAAAAACATATGACAAAAAGAATTACTGAAAAATTGATTATGGTGATGATGTGAATGCCCGGGAGACCATCCCCTCTTTCATGCTTTACAGAGTTAGGGAGATACCGGCATTTGATTTTTATGGGGGGGGGGGGGGGGGGGGGGCTAGGATGAAATTTGAAAAAAATAGGCAGGACAGGAGTTTTGAGTAAAAAAAAAGGCAGGATGAGACACACTTTGCAAAAAAAAAAAGGCAGGATGACAATTTATGTAAAAAAAAAGTCAGGATAAACTAAAAAAAAAAAAGGCAGGACCGAATAGAGTGAAAAATAAAAAGGCAGGACAGAGATTACAACTAAACCCCCCCCCCCCCCATAAAAATCAAATGGCAGCTCCCGTACAGATAGGGTTGATGTATAGACTTGATTTACAAGTTCCGCTCCTATATCGTTGCCTTGTAGGTGTCCCTTTCCGAATCCTGTATCCGCATCTGAAATCATGTGTTCCTTAGATTGCTTGATAGTGTCACTGTACACTGTGTATTAATTCAATCAGTTTACGCAGTACTTTTATTTATTTACCAATTTACATATGTTTAATTTTATATATAAATTTACGAGTTGATATAATAAATATATAAAGTATAAGACAATGATTTTATATATAGTAGGGGTATAAAGGCATGAATTGAGTTACACAAAATGAATAAAATCATAAGTTATATTTCTACCTGACCACATTTATAATCAAATTATGTATGCATGCCCATATCTGTATTTATTTAAACCCTGGAGTGTTAGTTTGTCAATCCTCTCTGACATTCAAGAAAAACATATGCAGTTTCATTCCAGAGTTATTTGAACTTTATCCTTCGGATTTAAGGCAATTTCTCACATGCATTGCACTAGTATTTTATATATATATACATGTATTGTATTGTATTGTATTTTGTATAAATTTACTCCATGTATCACCTTATACATTGTGATGTAAAATTACTATGTCTCCCTCTCTGCACCTACGGTCAATTGGTTGTAGACAATAAAGTATCTAGTAGTTTTGATCAAATTACTTCAGACATTGTCTTTTTTTTATTTGTCATTTTATACCATCAAAATTATAGGCAATTCTTTGAGCACAAGGACATCCTCCTCTAAGTTTTTTTTCTATCGGATCTTTCAACCTACTTCTAATTTAAGTTCTTCTCCAACTTTCTATTTTATTCTTGCATCAATTTCAATATGCGCAGTTGTGGATAGTTAAATAAGTAATTGTTTTACTCACTTTAAAAGCACGATGAAGACCAAATCTTCCACATTCCCCCAAAAAAAAAATGAAAATATTCCCTTCCCTACTCATTCAAACATACAAATGAAATACCATTAACTTCAAATATGCATGGCAAACATTCTCTTCTATCTGTAGCACATAAATGGCTAAAAGTTAATACACGGATGACATTTTCAAATTTCTATTCAGGCTCATTTGACAAGATTTGAAAAAGAGTCAACTGCAGACATTTCTCACTTAAATGACCAACTATGTTATTATTCCATATTCGTTCAGTGAATCTGTTGATTCCGGCATACTCTTTTCAAATGGACCTATTAATATATAATATTTAATGGACTTCTATGGACTTCTATTGACTTCTGCTTTTATTAGCATAAGCTTTTGCCAGACTCGGAAATGAAAGAAGGGTCTGGATAGGCTGTCTTTCCTTTCTTTATTTTTATTTTTTCAGTAGTCCATTTTTCTCTATTCTTTATCTACTTTACCCATTATTATCTATTCTTTATATTTTAACACCCCATTATTCTCTATATATAATTTGTTATTTAATATGTCTATTTTTTGTCTATTTTGTATTTTTATTGCCCTTTAATGCTAAAAAAAAAATAGGTTACACACCCACTTTACGTCTCAAATAAAAAAATATCATATCGGCGTCAAAAAGTTGTGTAGTTCGTTTCACACATAGAAATCCGTAAATTACATCAAGCACCTGCATGGCAACTTGGTTAACAATATGGCCGCGGATTTAAACCACTGATCACCAGTAACAAATAATTTGCAAGAATGCGACTTAGAAAGAATACTGCATAATTTTTAATCAGAATTTTAAAACAAAATGTCAACGTCAAGTTCAGTTAAGAACGAATCAATTGGCAAATCAATTGAACCATCGAAAAACCCTAAAACACCAGAAAAAAATGAAAGGTAAACAATCAATTTATCAATATTGACAATAATACTGTGATATAAATAACGTGCCATTGGGTTAAGTTACTTGTGGTAGTAGCAGGTACCCTATCTTACAAAATAACTAGAACTTACCCGTGATCGCAGGTCCGTAACTGCATTAAAGTACCTTTACACCTTAAAATTATTTTTAGCCTGGATTTTTAGTATTCTTATTGTCATTTGATAAAGTCATGCTGATTATAAGGTTTTCTCTGCTTTCAAAGTCTTTCTGTTGCAAGCCACCCTGGTTTTCTTACTACAACCGGAAACTACATGTAGGTATATTTTTTTGGTTAATGATTGAATTTAGTAGTGTCAGTCCCAACAATGACGAAGTTCAGGTGTGATTATGACCTGTGTATACACCTTATCGCTAATCCCGCTTGACCCGAGAATCAATCCCGCTCGAACTTTTGACGTCATACAACAATCACTTTTCCATTGTGGCGTCAGATATTTTCTATTATGACGTCAAAATTTTACGGGAACTTGTGTGATGTCCAGTAATGGCGGACAAATAGCGATAAGGCGTATTGCTATATGATGCAGTCTGGTAAATCCGCCCACATAAGGCTTTGATCGTATTTATTACTGCTTAATTATATACAAATTGTATCAAATTTGATAAAAATCGATTCACTGACAACTCAATTTTGAGTAGTTTATCTCATTCCCCCCAAATATCTGAAATAGATTTAAAAATCAGCAAAACAGGTGGGTCACGTGTTTTTATCGGAAATGTGTTTGTCCGGTAAATCCGCCTATGCACAGTAAATAATGTATGAGGACCAGTTTATCACATATTCATGAAAGGAAAATGGTGATTTATTAATAGACCAATTAAAAAAAAAATATAAAGTCAGAAATGGTTTTGTAAGCAATAATATGATTATCGTTAGCTTTAGGAACTGTATTATATATATAACTGGATATTTTCGTAATAAAAGATTTTTCTTTAAAAGTTGACATGCAGTGAGGATAAGTAAAGTTCCTATGAATAAAATACAATGAAGCAGACGAAATATTCACGGAAGTGACAATTACGGAAGTAAATGGGAGTGGACGGGTTTATTGGACACTACTGTATATAGCAAATCCCAAATACACCATTTGGTGGTGCGCCTGACAGAGGTGGAACGTACAGATTAGGTTATAGGTAACAAGTACTATTGGTATCGTATCAGATTCGACCCAGAACTTGTTAATTATTGGTAATATTAATTATGTGGAAAACTTTAATCTGTACGTTCCACCTCTGTCAGGCGCACCACCAAAGGGTGTATTTGGGATTTGCTATATACACAGGTCATAATTACACCTGAACTTCTTCATTATTGGGATTGACACTACTAAAAAGGACTGGAATGGTGTAATTTTTAATCAACACCATTGTCCTATATTAGTTATATGTAAAGTTGAATTCTTTGATTCATCATTTTTACGTCATCCCGACTTACAAATTGGACCTCATTACTTTAGTAGTATAGATTACATAACACACACATTATCCTGTGGTAGGATAAAGTTTCAACAGTGGAAATTACCACTAAAGGAAGGACTGCTACTAAGTAGATCTTGAATTCCTAACACTACAGCACCAGAGGAAAGATCTTGGGTTTATTTTCCTCTATAAAATATTGTATCTGTTGATCCACCACATTACTCCAACAGATGAGCAGAGTTTATAGCTATTTGAGAATCTGTGACACTTGATCCAAGAATTTGTGACTCTTGAACAATTGACAATATTTACAACAATCACTTTTTCTTTGATGCATTCAACATTTTTTCTTAATTTTACGGGAGTGTATATGATTTCAAGTAATGGCAGACAAATAGCCATAAATTATTAGGCATACCCAATCAGGCACCCCTCTTAATAGGTTACAAGGTCTGATGATGTTTAAAAACTGCCTCACGTTACTTTAAAACAAATTTTACAGGTGCATGTTTTACTGGTCACAGGTACTTTTTACATCTGATGTCACCGGTATTATGTTGCAGCAGAAATTTCTGCGCACGTCCCTTGCGCTTTTGATTGATAACCGAACATATTTGGATATGGGAAAAAAGGTTTATTTTTTAACAATTACAGTCACAGAATTTCAAATGTGAATGTAAATGGCAGAATGATATAAAATATTTGCATGATGTCTTGGGTTTTCAACTCTTTCAAATCTTGTTTTATTTAAAAAATCAGGCTTTCCAAAATTTCATTGAATTTTTTTTTTTTATTATAGATTTTGAATCTGTACTATCAGGACCCGGATAAATCATTTGGTACAAGTTCTCAGGGATCAGAAAATTTTTCAACCCTGGAACTGGCTGAAAGCCTGAAATAGATTCTTAAATTTTATTTAATACTATACATGTACATACATTTTGTGAACAGGATAATAGAAATTACAATAAATAATGGTTAGAACTAGAGACTTAATTCACCAACACCTGACTGTACAAAGACTGTGAACAACAAACAATGCTTGGTCCTATTCAGATAAAGGTCATTCCTCACTGAGATATATTCCAACTTAAAATTTAAAAAAGGGGGGTTGGAGGTGGGCTTTAGTATTTTTGAATAAATACATGTATATTTGTATCAACATTTATATTCTTACCTTCAAAATCTATTTTCTATGTACAGTCTTTTCAGCATTAATTTAGTGTTTCCATGTGGTGTCCTTTATTCGATTTCTCAATTTTTGCATAATTCCTGTTAGTGCTGAATACATGTCCAGTTTCATGGATTATTGTCGCTGGCTTTCATAAGGATTAAGAGTTCCCTCGCTTTTAATGCACACCTTCTTCTCAGGCTAACAGTTTGGTATCAGATATAATCCAGATAGATTTGTATCGAAATGAAAATTAGATTTATTCCAATTTAAACTAATAAGTTTAATTTCTGACAGTCACACAGTACGTATATGAATGATAATCCAATTCATTAGATTAAAAAACTTAGTTTAATTTCATCAGCCAATTATGATATAAAGGTGTGATCTAGGTGATACATGATGTCAGCAAATAAAACTATTTAACTGCTAAATTTACACTGAAAAAACTTGAGGAACCAACTTGGCAGACAATTAATGGCATTTTCAGGACTCATGTACCTCTGATGATTTTAAAGTAAAAGAAACATATGCCACATATCTGATGTACATGTATAAGATTATAAACTTTGAAGTTTTTTTATGCACAAGTAAACAATTTACAATAAAAAAGACATGTATATGCATACTGATCTTTTGATTTAATTGAGGGGCCTCGGTGGCCAAATGGTCTAAGCAGTCAAACTACTGTATCACTAGCCTGTCAACACAGAGGGTTATGAGTTCGAATCCCCCATATCGCAGGTGTGCTCGACTCCAATCTTAATTAACTAGGGTTATCAGTTTTCCTACCAAAGGTTGGTGGTTCTCTCCAGGCACACCAGCTTCCACTACCGATAAAAACTAACCGCCATGAAGTAGCACAATTGTGCTTAAAGTGGCGTTAAACAACAATCAATCAATATAGCTTACATCAAATTAAGATGTCACATTGTATGTCTGATAACTGGGAAATGAATAAATTGGGTGGGTTTTAAACCCAAGCCAGACTTGTTTACCTGAAATTGCATTATGAAGCCCCTGTGATATTGACTAAAATACATATGGTTATATTTTGTAGAAGTAGACAAATCTTAATTGACTTATTGCTAACAAAAAGGTTTCTAATTTATATGTAGTGTTGTAAGTGATGCAACAGAAACAATAATTAAGCCAAAAAGGAAACCTAAACCAAAGAAACAAAAAAAGGAACCAGATGAGTGGTGAGAAAGTGCACACATAATGATATATATCTTCCACGATATTGTCACACATTTATGTCATACATATATATTTTTCATAAAATTTATATCTATAATATCTTTTATTTTCTATATTTCTATTTATTGCGGGTTTATGGGTTATATTAGCTGAAGATATTTGCAGGTTCAATGTTTTCTTTTAAAGTAGAAACTGTAACTGTATGAGATGTTATCTGAATATTTCTCAGATTTAATTTTTACATGAGAAAGTAAAATTTTCTGTCTTACATGTGATAGACAAAATTTTACAAAGATTAAATTTTGTTGAGTATTATATTTTACTATTACTTGTAGATAACATGTTGCAAATATTTTCAGCTAAATTAGTAATATTTTGAATTTCTTTATTTATTTGATATTCTTATACAGATGGTTATAGTCATGTACTCATTATATATATACAGTTACACTTTTTTGGGGGTTTTTATTTTGTGAAGTAAAAAAAAGTAGAGCAGAATCAATTATTTATCCTGCAATTCATCATGTACAGTGTAAATGAAGGTTCATATAAAAATAAGCAAAATGTGATATGATTGCCAATGAGACAATTCTCCACAAGAGACCAAATGTCATAGAAGTTAATGTTAAGGTCACCACACAGCTTCAACAATGAGCAAAACTCATACAGCATAGTAAGCTATAAAATGCCCCGAAGTGACAGATGTAAAACAATTCAAACGAGAAAACTAACGGCCTGATTTATGTACAAAACAATAAAAGAAAAACAGATATAATATACAGCAACAAATAACAACCACTGAACTACAGGCTCCTGACTTGGGACAGGCACATACAGAATGTGGTGGGATTAAAAAATGTGTGCTGGTGCCAAGTTAAAAATATGTATACAAGAAAAACAACTTTGTTGTTTGTATACCATACACATAAAGTCGTCTTCTTCATGTCTCTTATTAGAGCACATGGAAGTAATTTAGTTGACAAATTTATTTATACATGACAGTTAATGTATAGTGTCATCTCTAAAGATGGCTCCAATTGATGTAAATTGTCTCTCCAAAATGCAAAGCAGTTGAGGATAGAAAGCAAATTATGAAATGAAAGTAAGGATGAAGAAAAATTCTTTGTCTTAGGGATAGCATTCTTTAGATCTAAGAAATTTCTGTGTAGTTTTCTCCTCTGGAATGTATGGTTAAGGAATTTAACTAACAGACTTGTTAAAATTACTAGTATTAACATTTGGTAGTGACCTTTTTATTTTTAGAGGTGCATTTCTACATATTTATTGATATAGACATATTTAAACTAAGATTTAGACAAAAGAATTCACTTATTGATTCTTGTTTGTGCTTATTTTAAGTTCAAGTAAATTTTAGAAGAAATAGTTATTGTTCAAACTTTTAGACTTTTTACTCATTTACATGGCTTTCAAACATAATGCTTAGATATTTTCTTTTAATGGCCTGATTTGGCAAGAAATACTCAGATGGATCCATACTAGATAACAAGAAATCTTCAATTATAAAATTGCAAAACTTGAGCTTACTTTTTTAGTCTTTATTTAAAATTAGACATGTTTCATGCTTATTCTCTTGCATAACAAAGATTGATTCATTTAGATTAGTAGATATTATTTTCATAAAGATAACATGTTCTTCTTGACTTAATAAAAAATAAAAGAAGTTATATAAGACCTTTGGAATTACAAAAAAACTGTTTGAGTAATTCATTACTCATTAGTATATAATTAACAGAAAATAAAATTACATTAAAAAATTAAATATTGTAATTCTTTAAGGCTTAAACTAATTTTTGGTACATTTTCAGGAAAACGTTGTCGATGGATAAGCTGGAGAATCGGCTGACAATGAAGGACCTCAACAAATTACAAAGAGGTTTTATGGTAAGGCCAGAGTTATTGTTCGTTAACTTTGTACACTAAACTTCAAAGCAAGTTTTATAAGTCGTACACTAAATAATCTATTTTTTAATACTTTAACATAAGTTGCGAAAGGAATTTAAGGTTACATATTTTTTTTTTTATATTTATCAGATTAGTGATTGTCATTAATTATAGAATAACTAATCGAAGAATTCAAATAGAGAAAAATATTCAACGAGTGACCGAACAACACATTAATTCACGAATGCGCGTAGCCCATGAGTTAATTATCAGTGTTGTTCGGTCAAGAGTTGAATATTTTTCGATATTTGAATTCTTTGATTAGTTATTCTTTTTATTACATTGGCAAATGGCTTTTTTTAATGAAATTAATGTAGAAAATGTAAGGAACTATATCTTTTTTCTACGCATTAACAATTTGTTTTGATCCGAAGTCATCGTCGTCTTGACAACGCCTATTGTTGCATGACGTCAGAGAGTGAAATAACCACGTTTATTTCACATGTGAAATTATCGGTTTTTATTTGACTGGGAAATCAATGTAATTCAATGCTACCAATGTAATAAGTTTGTTTATTAGGTCATAAAAAAATATTGATGATTTTTTTTAATCTTTTCTGAAACTGAGAAAGTAATCAATTAGTAAATTGGCAATTACAATATCTTATCTAAATATATTGTAAAATGAGGAAAATGCCATAAAACTGGGTACACCAATTTTTAGTTCTTTAGGTATGAATAAACAAGATCTTATACTTTACGATGCTACAAACAAATGGCAGATTTTTTTTAAAACTATAATTTATATGGTCATCAACAATAGGAAAATGTCTCTTTCTGAATCAAGATGATCAAGCTGTAAATTGTCCTGAGTCCAACTGAAATAAGCATCTTATCATTTGAATATAAATTTTACCACATTCTGACAAAACACCAAAATTTCACACATTTTTTCACAATTTTTGGGGATTACTTCAGATGTTTATAGCCATCATCAACTCTTGCATGTCCTGAATATATATTAACCATGATATCATTTTTTTTCATAAAAAATATTAGTCCTTTATCAAAGTTTGCCATTTCTTTTCTATTAAAACTGTTTTTAAGGAAAACAACTATTGCTTCCTTGCACCTCATTGAAAACCCTATGACATATAATATTATTATACTTCACGTTAAAATGCCAGATTTTGATTGGTTCATACGAGGGAGACAATTTACTCTATCCCATGGCTCAGCGGGAGATAATTTTTTTGAATGTCACCCTCTCGTGCGGACCAATGAAAAATCGATAATTCAACAGACAATGAATTGCATTTACATCAATGATTCTAAAGTTTTACGTTTTTTTCGCCGTGGTTGACAATGTTTTCTCAGGGTTATAATCTTCTCTATCACCCTCTCAGCTATGTGTTATTTATATAATGTCACAGATTATGCCTAATACATTTGACTGCTTGTTTTGAACTTGTGATTTTTTTAAACCAAATTTAATTTCAGTATACTGTGGATTCATTTATTTGCTTTGATACCAATAATCGTTGTTTGAGGAAAATTATATGTACTTGGATATTTGATCTCGTGGTTTATGGAGAAATCTCCTTAAAGACAAGCCTAATAGAAAATTGTTGAATATTTAAATTCATGCATGCTTTTCCTTTAACTATGAAATCCACAAAAATTGGTATCCGACGAATAATAATGAATCCAATGTTTTAAAATTCTGTTCTATTCTTAAACAATCAATAAATAAACAGTTGACTTTCTAGGTACTGTATATTTCTGGTTTTGATTGGGAGGCTGTTGAAGCATGGATGGCTTCTCAGGAACTTCCTGTCATAGAAACTCTAAGTTCTCGGGTAAATTGTTGTTATTGGATTATTTGAACACAACATCATGGGTATATAATCAGCAAGGTTGCAAATGTTTGATCACAATCTGCAGAATTTTATTTTAACACGAAAGTTGTATGGCAATCTGTGTTAAAAATTAAAAAGATACTTCATAGAATAAATAAAGTATTCCATTAGCATATTTGTTCCAATTACGGGAAAATAGATAGAACCAAAGTTTGACAATTTTTTTTTTGATAGATAGTGAGGGGATCAAGTTATATTTGTTGATAAACATAAGTAAAAGTGAGATCTATGATTAATATCAATGAGACAGAAACCCAACATCAGAATAAGCATAATAAGATACATCTAGAGGTCAAAATATTGTCAATAGACATTTGCATTCTGATTTTGAGATATGAATATTTTGAGGAAAGAGCAGGATTTCCCTGAACACTGGTGATAACCACACATATTTATTACTCCTAAATTAGGATTAATCTATTAGGCAAGGTTAACACAGAGGCAAAACTTAAATAGAGATGGTTAAATGGGTAATAACACCAATTAGTATGATAAGACAGTTGATTGACTCAAAATGGTGAATGGAGCATAAGTGTTTGAAGTGCAGGTTCTCACAAGATTTAACATGGAGTAAATGGACATTGGTAGTTTTGACTGCTTTAGAAGTGTAAGGGACCTAATTCTTGAACATTGCTGCTTAATGAGGTAGACCTAGTGTAAGGGGCATAACTCCTAAAAATCATGTGTATGTTTGAGTCAACCATTTTCATAAATATATTCTAAGCTTTTAAGTTACACAGCTTATTTGATCTTGTTTCACATGAATGCTTCAAAAAGCATTGATGAAACTGTCTATTAAGGTCTTATACCACCATTTTTCACCTATTAGTCTTTGTTAAATTTGCACTTTTCAAAAAATTGTGCAGAATTTATCTTTGTTTCAAATACTTGGCATGAGTAAAGTTTTATCCTGTCCAGTACTACAGACAAAATTTCACATAACATGTCATAGCATATAAGATAATAACTATTACTGGAAGTTAACCAATCGAATTTCCACCCTTTTCTTTCTTGTTTACAAGCTTTAGTAACCATGTAACCTCAAGTTTCCAAAATATTTTATAGAAACACCAAATAAAAAAAGAATGGTGCTCTGAAATACCCAAGATATATTTTTTTATGACTCAGAATTTTTTTACTGCAATGAAATATAGGATTAATTTCCTACAACTGTCAAATTTTAGGGAATAATTTTTTAGACCCTTTTTCGTATGCAACCAGATGTGACGTACTATGATTAGGTGGTATTACACCTTTAAAACGCATTACTGATTGAAAAGAGTAATTCTCCCTTAGCCAAGATTGTTCTCCCTCAAATAATCTGCTTATAATCATTGGTTGCCTTGTTGGTTACAAGAAATCAAGGTTTTTGTCTATTATGCACTGTATTTTGATTATTTTAATGCATACATGTATATTCATGATTTTAAGTCACTGGTATTGTTTTAAAGATATACTACATATGCAAGGTAGGAAGGTGTTTCAACTGTATAAATATTGTAAATATATTTTGCCAGTCTGCATTTTTAAGAAAAAAAGTTGAAAGTTAACACTGCAGCAATCAGAAGTCTAATTAAACTGCCATTACAGAATCTAGAGGGTAATATCATTGGTCTTAAAATCAAATTTGAATATTGTTATGTTAATTTGTGTACATCTTTTATAATTCTAAACCAAAATCAAAATGTTTCAAAAAACAGTTTGAAAAATATTACCAAAAATGTATTATTTAAATCAAATCAAATTATATATAAAAGATAGAAGTTACAAAATTTATTGATTTTAAACTTTTTAATTCCTTTTAGACCATATGAAGTGTATTGTGAAATAAGCTACAATAGTTACTATACAGTTGAGCTTTAAGTATAAGTGTTTGATGGCTTTATTGTTGCTAGTAATTGTATGGTTAGATGTACAATGTACCGTAGAGTGATCAGTGGCTGTTTTTATTTTCTGATGCAGAATATAAACTGTCAATTGAATGTTTTACTGCCTGTAAAAATGTATGTAATTTATATCAAATGATTTTATATGTACATGTATTTTACTAATGATTTCAGTCAATAGGAACACATTCTCAATATGACTTTGAGGATTTTCAGAGTGTGGTAAGATCGTAGGTGATGGACAACACTATTTAGTTATATGTAGTGTCACTACAATGATCTTTATTGTACTATCCTTAGAATATAACAATTTAACAACTGTATTAGGATATTATTATTATGGTAGAAAAAAATTACACTATTTGTAGACATGAAAATATTTGTCATCCTGGTTTTCGTTTGTGACGTCCTGGTTTTCATTTGTAATTTTTTGAATTGTTGAATTATTTTGCAACATTCAAGCTAAAGTTTAAAAGATTTATTTTTGAGATATGGAAATTTCAAAAGTTTTTAAAGTTTAATTTATGAAGACAAAGAGTTTTTTGTAGATACACACAAAATTAAAAAAAAATTAAAAATGAAAGGAATTAACAAAATGTTTTTTTTTTCATTTTTACTATTATTACTCAGTATAGATCTACTATTAAATACAGATATTATTAAAATTCTTATAGCCTGGTATGATAGTTTCATAACTGATACATTTTTAGCCGTTTGCATGATACTTTAATCAAATATTATCTTAATATTAAACAAGAAAAGAACCTGACCACACACATTACATTTGGGCAGGTTTCCTTATCTTTGGTGTTGAGATACAAATGGTGATAGAAAACACTATATAGTTATATGTAGATACCACAATTTCTGAATTTCATCTTTCACTTCTTGGATCTGTTCTTACTAATATATTAAAACAAGAAATTATTTAAATCTGGAATAATTTTGAATACTGGAAAAATGATAAGAAATGTATGATGAAAACTAACCAAACGACAGATTTAAGGTTCACTGATATATATTTAAGTATGAACTAATTAACCCCCTTAGCCAGGCATGCATGGCTAACCCTCCATCATTGGGTTGAAGTTTTCATGATACATTTATTATCAATTTTTAAGTTAAAAATTATTCCAGATTCAAATAATTCCTTGTTTCAAAGTTAAAATAACTTATGGGAAATCTAAACATTCTTTAACTTCTCTCTGTATTCTTAATGTACACAAATATTAAGTTTCAGCATTTTAGGAATTTCTGACTGTCGCACTTGAGAACATATGTTTCCATTATATTAGATATAACTCATCATATCTAATACTAAGAAGATCATTTTCAATATTAATTATTACCAAGGTCATATTGATGTTTACATTTTCTTGTAAGTTGTCAATGATATTTTATTGTTATGAAGTTATGATAAAAATAGCAGATATTAAAACCCTAATTGCTCAGGTGAAACTCTATTAATTCTAGTTAAGATAATGTCAATCAGCAATACTGGTTTAAAACCTGATAAATTTTTGATAAATCTGAGGTAAAATTTCAGTTCAATTGTTCAGTTTGAAAATTTGGTTAACACATGCATAAGTTTGAGTGTAAATTGTCAAAAAATATAATAGCATGTTGTATTGAGGTGGTACCAAACACTTTGACTAAAATAATTTTGGCTCGTTTAAAGTTCATACAGTGTAAAATAATGACTAAATATTTACTTTGACCCGTTGACAAAAATACAAAAATTTTAAAAAAACTTGAACCACTGACTCGATTGGAAAAATTTTATTGGATATATAGCAGTTTGACAAACACTAATTTTGATCATTGAGAAGCTTTATATTTCCTTAACAATAGAACGCAATTAAAACGTTCAGCTGCTTTTTACAGAGTTATCTCCCTGTAGTGTTATGTACCACCTTAATTGGAAAATGAAATCAGCAATTCCTTATATTGACTAGACTACTTGATAAAATATTCCTTTTTGTGAATTCATGAGTATGATCATATCATATAAATATGTTATGAATTTCCATTCTGATCTGAGTTAAAATTTGAAATGAAAATGTGTTTTAAACACCAATGGTTCAAAAATCTACAATATTGTTGTTCAAAAATTTATGTTTTTAAATTTTCAGAATTATTACCAATATAAAAATCAATTGTCCAAGTTGTATGTAGAATGTTAGTGTGTTTATTATATTTGAATATTTAAAATCTTTTACTAATAATAAACTTTATTTAAGAATTTAATATTATCAAAAATTGGTATACTAAACAAATCCTTGATATTACAAATGTACAAAATAATGAAATTGAAATTATAACAAAATTCTTTTTTTAAATTTTAGACTGGTGGTGATGGAACACAGGAAGGGAAGTTGATATTGGACAGGGAACAGTTCTGTGATGCTCTATCTATTTTGTTAGACAAAGGAACAAAGGAGGAGGTAACCAGTATAAAAATAGAAATAGAATCATTCAAAAAATCATGTTTGTCCATTCTTCTCAGTCTTTACTGATGTTGAAAGTTTTGAGATGATTAGCCATATGACTCTAACTCAAATAATTCAGGTCCTCCCTGTATTTGATCTTGCCAACTGGCAATGGCTTAAACTCAAGCAAAGACATCACAAATCCTAGACAGTGATTGCGGTAGTCTCTTGGAGGCAGAGCCATTCAGCTGGGTTTTTAATATTATCGAGTTGGGTAAATCCAAAGCTTATTCCAAATGATCTACTTTTTCAAAGTATATGCTTTCGAGAGTTAATGTAGCTGCCATAGGGCAGTAGAATAGGATATTTCTGGATTCATGTCTTTCACCAGAAAAACTTGTCAATTACGCAATCCCTTATGACGTCATTTACTAGATAGAAGGTGCGGCTGTATCCCTGCACCTATTAAAGTTTACAGCATCTTCAGGATTTACATTCTGTAGGATAGTCTAGAATTAATTTATGTTCCGTAGGTACGTAACCTCAATATCCGGTACGACTGAAGGGAGGGTGACCAACTAAGTAGATATTTATTTCCCAAATATTTCATGCAGTATAGCATCAAACTTTTTCACCCGTTCGCTCAACATATGTTGAAAGTGACAATGCCTATATTTTTGTCACGTGGTGATGAAAGTCACATGACAGATATAACTAACTACATGTACCGTATCTCTGAACTGGCATATTATATAGGTTAATATGCATTGTATGGGATAGTGCTAATTTTACTGATACACTTTATAGAATGCAGAGTTACTAGTATGTTTCCAGTTGTTATTAAAAAAGTACTTCTTAAATACTGCTAGACTTAAAAAATCGTGCAAAGATGATTCATGGATGGAAAGCATTCAAATAATTATTTTTGATATTTTGTTCAGATGCAGGTATATCAAAAGATACCTTTTATTTCTACTTTAAACCATGGTTATAGAAAATATTAATTGTATAGAATGCACTATAAAAATTCTGTAAAGGGAGATAACTCCATGATCTACTCTGCACTTCTTGTATCTCAAACAATGTTCTACATAAAGCAGCCAAAAGTCAATAACAAAAATTAAATATTTGTAGGCTACATTCATGTGAATCTTCTTTTTTTTTTTTTAGAATTGCATGATTGTAATATGGACTGATACTTAAATATACTGTAACTTTTTATGATAATTGAGTTTCTTTAAATCATCATTTGAGAAACATAATACTTATTATTTTTTTCACAGTATGGAGACTTGTTTGACAAGATTGATGTGGCCAGAGAAGGGACAGTTGATTGGGACAAGTTGGCTTCTCACATGTTGTTAGAGTTTACAGAGAGGGATGATAAAGTCAAGTCCACACAAGTTCCTCAGTGGAAAGACCTGAAAACATTCCAAAGGTAAGATGGTAAGGTCAAGTCCACACAAGTTTCTCAGTGGAAAAACCTGAAAACATTTCAAAGGTAAGAAAGTCAAGTCAAGTCCACGAAATTTCCAGTGGAAAGACCTGAAAAAAACCCAAAAGTAAGATTGTGTAAAATGGAAAGACCTTAAGTAATAAATGGAGATGTTGTGTTAACATCAATGGGAAATAACATGTCAACAAAAACCATCTGAGAATATACCTTTTATTTCAGACAAATATTGTTACTTGGAGATTTCATTAATCATAAGGATTTGTTATCTGCAAAATATATGATTTTGGCTGCTTGTATACATTTAAGTGGAGAACTACAGAAGCTTAGAACACAAGCGATTATAAGAAAATTGTAAATGAAAATAAGAAACTTGTTTCATATGATGATGGGTCAAAACACTTGCTATTCAAATAATAAAAAAAAAACCAAGAAGCTCCTTTAAAACAAAATTAACCAAAACAGTAACATCTACAGCATGTGTTTATTTCCTTGTTCAAATATGAAAATAAATTTAAATTCAAAATGAGACTGACCCTGTTATAGTTCCCAGATTTTGATAAAATGAAAAAAAAAAAATCATCAAATGAATACTCGGTCGGTATTTCATATCATGATGCCGTAGTTTATAATGACTATTCATCTTGAAGTTAATTTTATTTCAGTCCTCATAAGGATATTATCCAGAGAGTTTCCTGTATAAAGAATAATAATAGATATGTGGCTATTAGTAAGGTAAGCTGCTGATGATAAAAAAATTATTTGTGAATAACATTGTAAAAAAAACCTGCCAAAATGCAATTAGATGGCTGCATATTTTTCAAGAAAAGTATATGTCAAACTACTTTGGATACATTTCTTTTTATGGGTACTAATTTTTGTTGGTTGATGAAAAATAACAAAAGTGTAGATATTTGATTTGTTATATTTACCTTAGTCTGCATACATGCTTATATAAAATTCATACCTTGATTTATTATTTAAATTCATGGTTACTGTAAATTCAGAAATTATTGCGTGCATTTATTATTGCGATTTTTGAAGAATGGACAAAAATACGATTTTAATTATTGCTATTTCAGGAAAATCTGCATAGATATCAATGTATCAGATATGAGAATGAGAGTTCTTATTATTGCGATACTCACCCAGTCGCATTATTCGCATTAATAAAAACCTCGCAATAATTTCTGAATTTACAGTAATCTTTACCAAGGAAATCCACAAAAATTGATACCCAATGAATAATAATAAACTGCAAGTATATAAAGGTAAGGAGATGTGGTATGATTGCCAATGAGACAACAATCAAGCAGAGACCAAAGGTTGATGTTGTTAAAAACTATAAGTCATTTTACAGCTTTCAACAATAAGAAACTCCCAACTGTATAGAAAGATATAAAATCATTACAATTACAAAATGTGAAACAATTCAAAAGCAATACCAAGTGCCTAATTTATGCTAAAAGAAAAATATCTTACATTTTGTTCTATTATTTCTAATTGTTTTTTAGGAGGGAACCATATCAATGTGGGGACAAGATCTGAAAGCTCAGAGGGCAATTAAAACACAGACAGATTCATGTAAAACCAGAGATTTATGGGTTACAGATTTTGTCATTTTACAAAATATCAACAAAATTGCTCTTTCGTTCACAAGTAAAGAAATAGGTAAGTTCTGGAGTAGAGAAGTACAGAAATTTTACTGTAGGAATTTTAAATTTTCGTCTCTTTTTAAGTTTTTTAAGTTACATATCAAATTTGGAAGGAGAAGATCTGAAGAATACCTTTTATTCTCTGCCTACTATAGTTGGGTGGCATTACAGTTTTTAATCTGTCTATCTGTCAGTTTGTCTCTCCTGTATTAAGTTAAATGTTTGTTAAAGGTAGTTTACCATGAAGTTGTGGTCACATTAACTTGAAACTTGAAACCAAGTACCGGTATTCATGTTCATTATGATTTAATCTTTTTAGAATATATATGCCGAATTAGGTTTTTGACTTAGAATATGCATTTCACAGCAAACAGGGCACATATTCAATATGTCAATCAGTACACCTCCAAGGGATTTAGTGTAAAGACATCGGAAACAGTCTGAGAACCAGAACCTTGTGCATGCAAAAATTGAAAACAATTATTAGAATATAAATGGTCTTCATTTCAGCCATATATGACATGAGTACCAAGATGGAGTTCAGTCCACAGTATAAAATACAGAATTTACATCACACACCACTAAGTTTGGACTACTGGTAAGAAGAACTAATGCTATATTTACAAAGAGTAATATGTGTTACCATTTTTTTTTTTTTCATATACATATTTAATTAACAAAAACTGAAATAGAACAGAAATGCTATAGATGCTAGCCATTAGAAATTTATCATAATTTTGGTTAAATAGAAGGTATGATAAAACTACTTATTTAGTCCCTCTAAGTGGCACTTAAAAAAAATATACTAAGTCTGCCAAGTAACATCCTTCCAATGACATTTGTCTGTGAAGTATAAGTGTTTGTCTTTTTTCAAATTTTTGTCTCACCTTGACAGATTAAAAGTGAGACATATGTATGCTGTTTCCGGCGGCTGCAACGGCTTCAACAATGTATTAGTTTGTGATTAGGTCAGTTTATGGTGAACCACTAGTGGTAGGTCAGTGATATTTGGTATGCAGTTGTATTAGCATTGGCACATCTCATTTCCATAGAGATTGTTTGGCTCTGTACCTTCAGTCATGGTTCTTTGACTTTGAAACTTTTGCATAACTTATATGTTTAAGTATTGCTATTTTAATTTCAACATTTGCATTTTACTATCAAAATAACATAAAGGCGAGACATATTTCTGTGTTTACATTTTTTTTGTTTGTTAAATTTCAATTTTGTATATCTAACAGTAAAGTGTTGTTTGGCTTTGTTCCGTCAAAATTTCTAGGACCAAATCTTTTCATGAGGTTTTGTTTTCACTTTTTCTTGTTCCTGATTTGAATCTTCTTACAATATCAAATTTACTCAAAAGGGATATTTTTCATAATTATTATACCCCCGCTTTAAAAAAGTTGGGGTATACTGTTTTACCTCTGTCTGTCCATCAATCCGTCAGTCCGTCAAGTCCGTCCTTCCGTCCTTCCGACCCATGAATATTTTTCATTGCATTTTTTTCAGGAACTACATTACAAGGATTGCTGAAATTCAGTTTCAGGGTTTATATGAGTCAGCTATACCGTGTGATGCGTTTTCAGATTGATCACTGAACAACTTCCTGTTTACCGAACACTTGCATCATTTTAAACAACACATCCAAGTTGAAAATTTTTGTCACATTTTTCTCAGGAACTACATTACAAGGATTTCTGAAATTTGGTTTCAGTGTTTATATAAGTCAGCTATACCATGTGATGCGTTTTCAGATTCATCACTCAACAACTTCCTGTTTACCGTCAAATATTTGGGCTGAGGGTATCATCAGTGAGCAGTAGCTCACAGTTTCACTTGTTTCGTCTTTAACAGGAAATGAGAAAAAGTAAACTCCTCATGAAAATTTTCCACTTTACAGAACTTGCAATAGGCTTTCAAACTTTAAAAACTGCAAAAATTGCCTCATTTTCATCCCTCGCCATAGATTAGAATTTAAGGAGTGACAATCTGGCATAAAATGTTCTTGATATATTTTTATTGTAGAATCAGCATTGCAGATCAATGCAGTGTGTAGAAAGGTTAAAGTTGGTCAATGTTTAATATCATGTTTACTTTTAGGTCCAACCCAAACAATGTCAATGAGGCCATGTTGGTGTGGGGAGATGTAGGAGGATACATAAATGCTTTATACTTTAGCTCGGTAACCATGGCGTTGTTTGATAGACCACCAGCTCCAGCAGGAGAAAAACAAGGTAAAAGAGTTGCTTCCCTTAAGAAGTTTTCTTAAAAAGGTTACTTCCCTTTTGAAATATTTTAAGTTTGAGTTTATAAGATTTATTTTGTTATTGTATGGGAGATGTTCTTAGAAGCTAGGTTTCTTTTTAATTTGGTTTATTTTATGGATTTTATTAGAAAAATAGCAAAATTAAATGTTAGGATGTGTTTATTTTTGAAAAAGTGTAATAGATTAGATTAGAATTGGAACTTTACAGTTTAAAAAATCAAGGTCTATCAGCTCTCAGCTTGTGGTCTTGGAATCCTTGAACTACTAGCATATCTGTGGAAATCACTAGGTGATTTGCTATTGTGTTGAAATTGATCTTGAATGAACTGAAATAAATATCCCAAATTTGTACCTCTATAAAAAGCTGTGCTATATTGCTATAAATAGCTCAAACTATTAAAAAACATTAGTTTATGAATTTTATGGGCCAAACAATATGGATTTACAAAATTTTTAGCTTCCAACATCTGTATGTTACACAGCATTCTAAGTATGGAGCAACATGGAAAATACAGTTTCTGATACTGGCAGTCCTTTCCAACAAAAAGTATTATTTTATTAGGATTAGAACTGAGGAATGGATGTACATGCACCATATTGGTTCAGATGAATAATCCCTAATTTTATCTTTCTATTATTCTCCTGCTCTCAAACATATTTGTAGTATGGTTTATGTATTAGGTCTCATGGCTCTTCAAGAAATATGAAAGTTAAATAAGTTTCAACTAAATTAAGTTACCGGTATATAGAATTCAATATTATGAAATTAGAAACTATACTGTAGGATCAAAGTTTTGCTCATGATTTCCAATAAAATATTGTATTTGATGATTTTCAGCATCTGCATTAAGTGGTAGGTTGGTTGTTACATGAAGGAGGATGATCATCATTATTTATTGTTATGTCCATACTTATTATAATTTCCATTAAACTTGTTACCACTTGTTTTTATCTCAATTCTAGTATTTCATTTTAGTAATTTTCAGATATTTCTTTCTCTTTGAAGTTTCGCATCAGAAAATGACATTTTGATTTTTTACCTTAAAAATATTAAGGCTTTTCAAATTTTATAAAATGATGAAATACTGGAATTAAGATGATCAATAATACACAGTCTAATAGGTAGGATGTCTGGCTAATGTCTGCCATTAATAAATCCCAAAATAAAAGCATTTCACTGTTCTCTGAATTTTTACTTTTGGTTAAATCACAAATTTTCCTTCTTTATTGGAAATATAAGAATATTCTATTAATTTGTATTATTAGCAAATTTCTGAAAATGAGAAGAATTTTTTTTTTCATATTCTGAAATGTTTGATTTTTTACATGGCAGCAATGTCACCTGACAATATCACCTGATGACATGTTTTGTTTTGGGTTTTTTTTTAAGCATAGAACAATTTTTTCAACATCCTAAAATATTTGGTAGTTTTATTTTGGCATGACAGCAATGTTACCATGACATTACACCTTATACTAAGGCAAATTGTCTGCCTCCTGTCTGTAAAAAAATGTCTCTGTGTAAAAGGGGACAATATATTTGAGGTTTTTTAACAGCATGACTTTTTAATGATATAATAATAATGGTGGTTGGCTTGTAATTTTTAAATTATTTTTATTTGTGGAGTCCAGCTTTCATACTGCAGAACTTTGTTGGATATTTTTTTTAACAAATTTTCTTTTCATTTGAGAATAAAGTGGATTCTTTTAAGAGAACCATAAAAAAAAATCCACAAATAATATTTCTTTCACTGTACTTTTAATACTGAGAAGAAGCTGTTATTTTAGACTAACTAAAAAATTTGTAAAGCCTATATTTGTATTATATACAGCATATATATTGTGCAACAATTTTAACTCCTTTAAATTAAATATCAAAACTCAAAGACTGGTGCATATTTGGTGGGGTTTTTTCTACAACATAAAACAAATGTACCTTCTGTTTTGTTTTGTTTTTATATTTTTTTGTTTTTGTATTTACTTTTATTTAAAAGTTTTGAAATTAGATCTAAAAATAAATTGTGCTCCCCAATTCAGATTTTTATTGATTAGTCTTTTGAGTCATTTAATAAAGTTCATTGGCAAAAATATTACGTTACCCAGAATTCAGTTCCTTTATAACCTGCAGAATAATGAATAATTGTTGCAGAAATTTAAAAGAAAACAGAAAAAATGATTGAGTGTTATCTGAAAAGTTTGATGAAAATGACAGCTTCTTTTACTCTTTGTTATAATTTTATCTTCTGTAGTTAATCTCATCTAATTCTAATTAATTTATATCTTTTTCTGCTGTGTGTGTGACCTCTGACCTCTAACATTTAACTTCAACAGCTTGGCAAGGTAAGTTATTCTGGTATTTAGTTGAATTGTTGTACATTTCTGTTTGCGTTGATTGGGATTAGATATTGACATGAAAAAAAACATCTATCGATTAATAAGCCAATCTGGCAGGCTTTTTAAAGTTCCCAATATGTGATATTAATTGTGTCCTGGCACACTTTGAAATAAATTTATTATGCTCTAAGCTTTTAACTGACCTGGTGGTTCACATTTGAATTTTAATTACAAATTACAAACTTCGTGTTGGATTTTTTATCCAATAAATTTGAGTAATTTGCCTTTTTTAGGGTCTCTTTTTTTTACAGTCATCAGAGAAATTGAAACTGGGAGGCCAAAAAAGTTGTCAAACCTTATTGGTCCGCACAAATATGTGCAAAAAGTAAATACTCCAAATTTAATATTTAATTTTAGGTTAATAAATCTGGGATTTATTTGGAAAAGAAAAAAAAATCTATTGCCCAAACTTGTTTATGTCTTAAATTTGATAGTTTATTTCCATTTTCATTAGGATCAATTAACAATTTTCATTTCAGAAGTATTTGCTTAAAATTTTGATTATAACTGCATGTAGATAAATATAAATGAATAACACCATGCTTTATTAATTTACATTCCTGCATTTTTAAATATTATTGATTTCTTGTAATAAATTATTATGCATGCAGAGATTTAAATTGAATATCATTAAACTTTTTTCTGCTTAAACTGCATGAATATAACATTGAAATAACAGACTTGCTTACACCTTGCATGATATATGATATTATAAGCACTGTTTACATATATGAATAACTGGTTATCTATTAGTTAGGCCTCATGGGATCTGTTAAAGGAGATAAATTGAATACTGGTCCCTTTTTAGAATGATTTCTTGTTATTTCCCTTTTTTGAAATGTGTAAGTCTCAATAAAACAGATTTTTAGTCAAAGTTAGTTGGGTTTACTGTTAACCAACTAATTTTCTCAAGTAGAAAATAAAGCTAAATTGGAACTCGCTAATTTGTAAAATTTGGGCCTTCCTTTATGGAATCTTTAGAAATTAAGGAAATTGCGAAAGTAAATCGTCGTGAACTCAGCTTGAAAAAGGATTAAATGCGAAAATAATAGTTTTTCAGTATCCCGTTTCCAAATTGTATTTATGTCCTGTGGTTATTTTTACTCATTGTATTAGAACTCAGTGTTGTGCTGCAGTAGTGGCCATAAAAAGAATGGACATAAAATGTCAGTGCGTTGAATGTTTTGTATAGTTAACAAAGCAGATTTATTCCGTATTTATAGTGCGTTCACTCAAAACTTAATTTCACAGAATGCAGAAATTTTACACCCTGTTTATAACATGTCTAGTTATTGATGATAAACAAGAATGGGTCCATAGTACACGGATGCCCCACTCGCACTATCATTTTCTATGTTCAGTGGACCGTGAAATTGGAGTCAAAACTCTAATTTGGCATTAAAATTAGAAAGATCATATCATAGGGAACATGTGTACTAAGTTTCAAGTTGATTGGACTTCAACATCATCAAAAACTACCTTGACCAAAAACTGTAACCTAAAGCGAGACAGACGGATGGACGGACAGACAAACAGGTGCACAGACCGAAAAACATAATGCCCCTAGGTGGGGCATAAAAAGTGTTTGAAATGAAAAAAGGAAATAAACAACATACCCCCAAAAAGGAAAATTTAAGGCAATTTTTTATTCCTATCTTTTCTTGGAAAACATTTGTTTTGACGTCCATAGTATTGTCGAAGTATGCCAACATAATAGTATAAGCGGTCATTTCTCCTGGTTGTTCTTGCAATTTGTTTGACCTATTAAAAACCTCAATGAAAACACAGATAACCAGTTGATATGTATATGTAAGCAGTGAAAATGATAGGAAATTAAAGATTTAAAAATTCTTACTTGAGTTTTTTTCAATTTGTAGAGCCGTGTTTGAATGTAAACATCAATGATGTATCCAGTGACGTGGCCAATGCTAAGTACAAGAATGTGGTCTACTTCTTCAAAGATTGTCATAAAGGACAGTGGGTCAGGCAAGGTAAGATATAATGATGTATCTAGTGACGTGGCCAATGCTAAGTACAAGAATGTGGTCTACTTCTTCAAAGATTGTCATAAAGGACAGTGGGTCAGGCAAGGTAAGATATAATGATGTTATCAGTGATGTTGCCAATGCTAAGTACAAGAATGTGGTCTACTTCTTCAAAGATTGTCATAAAGGACAGTGGGTCAGGCAAGGTAAGATATAATGATGTTATCAGTGATGTTGCCAATGCTAAGTACAAGAATGTGGTCTACTTCTTCAAAGATTGTCATAAAGGACAGTGGGTCAGGCAAGGTAAGATATAATGATGTTATCAGTGATGTTGCCAATGCTAAGTACAAGAATGTGGTCTACTTCTTCAAAGATTGTCATAAAGGACAGTGGGTCAGGCAAGGTAAGATATAATGATGTTATCAGTGATGTTGCCAATGCTAAGTACAAGAATGTGGTCTACTTCTTCAAAGATTGTCATAAAGGACAGTGGGTCAGGCAAGGTAAGATATAATGATGTTATCAGTGACGTTGCCAATGCTAAGTACAAGAATGTGATCTTCTTCTTCAAAGATTGTCATAAAGGACAGTGGGTTCTGCAAGGTAAGATATTTGAAGTTGTGCCAAAAAGAGTGGTCCCTACCTTCCTCAGGATAATTATTCTCTCAAAATAAAGTGGAATAGGTGATCTGTACTACTAGTTATATGTAAAAGGTCAGGATCAATATCTTTTCAGTTTTATACAAATTTATTGACACATTCAGTAATCACCAAAATAAACATTTATGAAGGATTAAACTGTTTGAAGTCAGAGGTGAAAGGTAATAATGTAATTCACAATATTCATTATCTCTGGGAATCTGCCACACTTGACATGAGATTTAGCAAAGCTATTGATATCATACAAAAATTGCTTTTGCTTTTGCATTGTGGAATCAGATGTATTTTCTTGTGACTTCAAAATTTATGGGAAACCTCTGTGATGTCCAGTAATGGCGGACAACTAGCTGTTTATAAGGTGTATACAATAAAACAGTCTTCTATTATTGTATGAGTTACACTGGATTGCTTTGTTTTACAATTTCCAATTATTTTTTGTTATTCACACTTCTTCATCAAAACTTGATTTTTGAATTAAATCTGAGCAGTGTGCTGTTATCTTCTTTAAAGGTTTGGATCAGAAAATTTGTTTTAAAAATGTTTTGAAAAATTAGTATAATTAACAAAATCCTCAGGCAAGTATTGCAAGCTTCAAAAAATTTTACAGATATTTTCATGTCACTTCTGTGTAACTCTCAAATGTTACAACTTATAATAATCACTAATTTAAAGACATAATTAGTACAATTTTCCCCTTTTTATCTACATGAATTTGTCATGATTAATTATTTTTCCCCTCTTTATCTACATGAATTTGTCATGATTAATTATTTTTCCCCTCTTTATCTACATGAATTTGTCATGATTATTTTTTTCCCCTCTTTATCTACATGAATTTGTCATGATTAATTATTTTTCCCCTCTTTATCTACATGAATTTGTCATGATTATTTTTTTCCCCTCTTTATCTACATGAATTTATCATGATTAATTATTTTATGTTGTAGTGAAGTATTCACAGTATTTAGATGCCTTTATCAGCTGTTCTACTACCAATAATAACTCTATGGCCATAGCTAAGATGGAGAAGGCAGGTACTTCAGAGAAAGGCCCTTCTGGACAACAAATAGACAAGTGAGATATAGGCCTAAAATTGAGACCCTTATTTTGGTAAAATGTTGAAAAAAAAGGAGCCATACAATTAGCAAATTATTCTGTGAAATGTTTTTATCTGATGTTGTTTCATATATTTTTCGTGTGTACCAATTTTTGTGGATTAAACAAAAAATTGTATTTTCAAGGATACTTGATTTCGTGGTTTTGCCAAAGTTTGCATACAAGGCTATGAGAAAATTACACTTCATTGAACAATTAAATTCATGGTTTGTCTAAATCAACAAAAATAGTACCCAACCTATAATTATGCATCCTTAGTATTTCAACAGGGGAAACTCTCTAACCTGACCAATCATCATTATTCAGTAAATGTCCGGGTTTTTTTTTTTTTTTGGTGATGTGATCATTTTAAAAGTGAAAACAACATGTTATTAATTTCATGCGTCTGAAGCTTTTCTGGATTTACCTTCATCAAGAAAGCTCAAAGCCGAATATTTTTAAGCCAAGGATGTATTAGAACCGAAATAGTTGACGAGCTATATGACGAAAAAGGACCTAAAAAAATAGCCAAATCCATCTAAGGTCAAAACATTTATATTCTGTATGATATATAAGCATATATGAGTAATATAACACAATTCATTATGATGAATTCATTGAATTTTATTTTGTTTTACAGGAACAAGCCTGTTAGCAGAAGTATAAGTCGTAGGCCGTAAGTATTGAAGTAAAAAATATATATATAAATTGTATTGCATTCACCTTGTAAATCTATCTGTCAGTTTGTCCAACAATGATTTCTGTCACACTTTAATCAGGTACCACAGGTACTAGTCAGCAACTTGACAGCAATGAGTTTTAATATGTAAGGGCTTTACAGAATTGTCAAAAACACCTTTCCATTTACAAAACTGAATTAGGAGTGGAGGTATGCTTAGCACAACAATACATGCATCCTTATTTTCTCTTTGTCTTAAGGGCTATTTCATTTATGTGTATATGACACTGAGGAGTGGAAAAGGGAATAACAAATGAACTATATTTGCAAAAAATACAAATCTTGGATAAGCACATAACTACTTTTTTGGGGAAAAAAATAATTGCCTATGTGAGTTGGTTTCTTAATTTTGAACCTCCTCTACAATGTAGAAAAGTTATGTTTGAAAAGTATAGAAAACAGTTCAGAAAAATATAGTGACTCAGGTACAGAAACTATTCCAAACTTTGACACAACAAGTGTATGAGAATAATACTTGAGGAGTATAGAGTATAGAGTACACATCAAAACGAGTAAAAAGAGAGAAGGAGTATTTTTCATCGATAAAAGATACCTGTCAACACACTGCAACAAATTAAGTTCCTGATAATTTGTATTTCTTTTTCAGAACATATTTTGACATATCACAAGGAGTCAATGCTTTTGATTACAGCCAGAATTTGAACTTGATTGGTAAGCATGTATAAGAAATAGCAAAATCATTGACAAATTTAACAAAGTTCTGTTTACTTCAATATAAGAAATGCAGATGGAAATCATTTATTTTCCTTCTTACATATACATAAAAAGTCTTGGAGTGGCTAACATTCAATCATAAAAAACAAAAATGTTTTAATTTTCCCATATATTTTTCTTGGTTGGGCTTTTTCTTTTAGGTGAAACATTGGAGTTCAAATTTCCACATGTATTTCACTTATAATACTTCAGTCCCTAGATAATTCTTTTTTCCCCGTGTTCAAGTTGATTTTATGTAAATGTCACGTGATAACATCAGAAATCTAAGCAGTGTTAGAATCAATACAACCTCCTCTGCATAAAAACATCAAGCCTTGACTATAACTTTTTCAACCTACACATTTAATCAACATCTACTACAAAATTCTCCTATATTCTATAATATTGTGTTTCAATTTTCTTTACAGCTACTGCAGGTGTAAACCACCACATATGTCTGTGGAATCCTTATGTCAACTCTAAACCTAATGGTGTAAGTAAAACTTTTAGCCAATCAGTTATATGCTGTAAACCAACCTCTTTTTGCAGATACTTTATTTTGCGTTCATCTCTTTCCAGTCGCGATTTATATCCACAAATTTTTCATTCTCTTGATTATTTATATTATATAATGAAAGACCATTTTCTTGCATATTTGCGATTATTTATATTCATGTTATTTTTCTCTGTTTTAAAAATAAATCACTTGCAAAAATAAGTTAGTTTACAGTAATATTTATAACAAAAAAACTTTATAAATATGTTATAGAGTCATAGATCAGTTCCAATATACAAGTATCATTGCAATCAGGCGTCTTTCTTACTTCTCCTTAGTTTGTGTCAAATACAACCACATTACCATAATTTTCATATCAGATATTATTACGGTAGGTCACTTTGCTATATTGTCACACAAGAATAAAATTTAGCTGTTCAAGTCTGTTTTTTCAGTTTCAGGTATTAGTAGGTCACATCACCATTTTGTAACCCAAGAACAAATTTAAGCTGAAAGATTGTTTCTATTTTCAGGTATTAAGAGGTCACATGGCCAGTGTTGTACAGGCACAGTTTATGAAGTCTAGAAGTCAGCTGATCAGTTTCTCTAAAGATAAAGTGTTACGTATCTGGGATGTCCAGTTACAAGTCTGTATACAGAGATTAGCTGGCATGTTCCCTAAAGGACCAGAAGGTAAAAATGATTAAGAGATCTACATATATGAACTTTTTACAGGTTATATTTCAAAAGTAATTATCACTTTTAATGAATATTCAGGCATTATTAAAAAATTTATCAGCTTTATAATTGATTGATTGATTGGTGTTTAACTCCACTTTCAACACTACTGTGCTATTTCGTGCTGGTCAGTTTTTATTGGTGGAGGAAGCCAGAGTGCCCTGAGAGAATTACCGACCTTCAGTAGGAAAACTGACAATCCTATTCAATTAAGATTGGAGTCAAGTGCACCTGCCCTGTGCGGGATTCAAACCCACAACCTTAGTGTTGCCAGGCTAGTGAAACAGTAATTCGACTACTTAGACCACTCGACCACGAGGCCCCCAATCAGCTTTATAAAGAGTAATTATTGTTTTGTTACACAGTATACTTACTACATTCATAGTTTGAAGTGTTTTGAAAAAGAAGAGATCAATCATTAAATGATTTTAATGCCATACTATGATATAAATCATCTTTACTTTTAGTTCACAGTACTCTATTCTTTGATGAAGGAAAAGATAGGAACGGGTTAGATAGAAATCGTTTGTTCCTGACATTCAACTATCAGCTGACTTTGTTAGAGATGAAGGCAGAGATCAGAGATAGGATCTTGTCACATGACAAACCAGTTATTTCTGCTATTTATAATGAAAAGAAGAGTCAGGTGATTTATAACTAAAAATACATATGTCCATTTTTTCTGAAAATTTTATGTTAAGAGTTAATTGATTCAAAGAAAATTGAGCAATACTTCATCCAAGGAGTGACAGAAAGAAATTAAATATTGGAAAAAAAACTTATAGTTAAAAAAAGCTTTACGGTAAATTCAGAAATTATTGCGAGATATTTACTAATGAGAATACTGCAACTGGGTGAGTGTCGCAATAACAAGAACTCACATTCTGATATCTGGTACATATGTGTATGCATCTTTTCCTGAAATCACCATAATTAATCTCACAATTTTATGCATTATTGAAAAATCACAATAATAAAGGCACACAATTATTTCTGAATTTACAGTATTTGAACCTAAATGAAATTTAGGGATTACAATTAGAAATTAATTTTATACTACTAATTTTTTATAATTGTTTTCTCTGTTGTAGATCATAAGTGTATGCCAGCAAGGAACCATGATTGTGTGGATGATTGATACAGGTCAAAAGGTCAAACAGTTCAACAATATTCATGGTACATCAGAAGTCACATGTTTAGCTCAAGATAGTTTTGGTTCCAAAATTTACACAGGTGGAACTGACGGTCTAGTCAAGGTAGGGTAAATATAAAAATAAGAAGATGCAGTATGATTGCTAATGAGACAAATCTCTATCAGAGACCAAATGACATAGAAGGTTAGCAACTATTGGTCACCATACAGCCTCCAACAATGTCTTACATTCTAAATTTTGCTATGCAGAATTTCCTGAAATTGTAATAATTTATCTAGCATTTTTTGTCCATATTTCAACTATTCAAATTATAATTGCATTAAAAAAATTCTCAATTTACAGTAAATATTAAAGAAATTATATGTTATAAAAAAACAAACAACATAAATTGTTCATGATGATAGAAGGATAAGCTGCTATATGATCATCCTTTTGCCAATTATTTCTGAAATTTATTTACAAAAATATCCCAGTATTGACCTTAACAAATAATCTTCCAAGATGCATGTTCTTTAGAAGTCATGACCTTACAAAAAAATGGTAGAAAATACCTGAAAAATGATAATTGAGAACATTTTTGTAGCAATAAACTATGACACATCCCAAATACACAGGTCATATTTTTTTTTAATTTTGTTTGATCTGCTACAGAGCATATAAAATAAAAATAATAAATACATGTTTACTGTAAAAGCACAAAAATTAAATACTGTTTCTAAATTCATTGAATCTTATTCTTTAATTTTGAAGTAGAGATACTTCCCCTTCTACATCATTGTGCTTGTTTTTCTCCTATATAGTTATCATAATTTTATTTGAAATTTTTAATGAATGACAAGTATGTTTTATTTGTTCATAGTTTTAGCTTGTTGGTGTTACAAAATGATATAATCAATAGTTTAAACAGTACCATTTTACTACACCTTCAACAAAAAGTCAGATATTTAATGGTTTCTATCCATAGTGTATGTACAGACTGCATACTTGATTGCTATTGAGGTCTTACTCGGGTGTACCATCCATCAAATAAGAAAGTCTGTGTTTTGTGTCATAAAACTTTCCAATTCACATGCTGCATGTTAGCTACCACTTACCTTCTGTTTATACATAATCTAAAAGTGCATTGTATAGGAAGCAATGGATTATATTTTATTTAAGTTATTTTTTAATTTGATCAAATGAAAAATTGTTTCTAAAGATACATTGGTCATTTTGTTAGAAATTTGTTACATGTTTTGAAATTGAATTGTACAAGAAGCAATAGATTATATTTTTTTCTCAAAGTTATTAAAAAAAAATGATTAAATAAAATTTGTTTTTAAAGACATATTGGTCATTTTGATAGAAAACATATGAGTGAAAAGAAGATAAATTGTAATATACAAATAATATTTTTTAGGAATGGGATTTCAATGGTCATTGTTACCACCAGTTGGAATGTGCTGGTGGTCAGCCTGCTGATATTGGTCAAACCTTAATACTCAAAAGATCAGTAGTTTCTGTAGGATGGACAAAGTGAGTTCAACTAGGAAAAAATACATAATATGATGTGATTTTAATCATATGAATGAAAGGAGATACTGGGTATATATAGATTCTACCACTGCGTCGGGTTTGATACAATATTTTTACACTCAAGTTAGTTAAATGTTTTAATATAAAACATGAGGCTTGTCGAGCTTTTTAAATATTCAAAATTTAACTGTTGAGATTGGACCAATAGCATATCGCACGAGACTCTTTGGTGGAATCTGTTTCAACAATATAAAGACAAACTTTCTCTTTCTTTTTCAATGATTAGCAAACATATGTGTTTTTTTCTATGTGATATCATCAGGCATGGTCGCCTTTTTTGGTGACGTCACAATATAAAATTCAGAGGAAAGCAAGAAAATTTGACGTCATGATTGAATTTTGACCAATGAAGAACTGAGATCAAACGAACCACACGTTGATAAAAAAAAAATAATCAACAGGTCAGGAAAAGTATAAATTGGCTAAGAATTGGAGAAATATATATATATCAATGAAACAGAAAAAAACCTAAGGTCAACAATAGACTGGGCCTCTGTGGCCACATGGTCTAACTATGTCATCTACAGTGAGGACTAGGCTGTCAACACTGAGGTTGTGAGTTTTAACTCCTCTTTTTGCAAGGTGTGTTTGACCCTGATCTTAATGGACTAGTATTGCATGTTGTCATGCCAAAGGTTGTGATTCTCTCTTCCTTCACCGATAAAAATTGACCTCCATGAAATAGACATTCTATCATTCTCTAATTATTTGGACCATCATCAGATATAACAGAAAATTTATGAATTTTAAATTACCATAAAAAAAATGTCGGACCATTTTGTTATCTTAATATTCATCAATAGCTATTACTTTGTTTTCTACTGATCTAATGACGAATGGACATGTTGAAATTAATGTAGAAAGATTATTACTCTTTGGAACTTGAATTAAAACAACAACAACAAAATGCACAAAACAAGAAAATGAACAATGCACAACAGCATACCTGAACGAAATGAAATTGAATCAAATAATCAACAAAAGATATTTAAAATACACGCTACAATGTACCTAAGTGAAATAAAACTCAACTGACTTTAAACCTATTAAAAAGGATAGCACACCATGAAACAAATTTACTTTTGTTTAGTACATGAATCAGGGGATAGGTTTTCTTGTTTGAATTTTGATCTTTTTCTTTAGTAAGCACAGTATGGTAAATCTTCAACTTTTCATTATATTTTTCAGATACATAACACTATTCCGTAATGCAGCATTTAGAGAGCACCATGTTCAACCATCAGATTGGAAAGGAGGCCAGGAACACGTAGAAGATATTTTATGCATAGCCTACTCAGGACCTAATTTGCTTGCCACAGGATCTTACGATGGAGAAATTATTGTGTGGAACCTAGGATCAGAACAAGTGTCGAAAAGACTAAATCTGAGATGTCGCAGAGTTTTATTGAAAGGCAAAAGTAATGTTGGTGCAATGAGCCGTGAGGTAGGTGGTGTTTTATAAATGAATTTTTTAAATTCATTAATATTGGTGGGATAACTATTTTTGTGGATTTCCTGGGTATATATAATCCACGAATTTAGATGTCTAATGATGTGCCAATTATCTATAAGGTTGTATGCAGACTTTAGAAAAACCACAAAATCAAATAACCATGAAAATACAATTTTTACTCAATCCACAAAAATTGGTACCTACAAAAATAAATGAATCCAAAGTATGGTGTTTATGAAGTCTGCATAATAAGAATTACTTAAAAGTTTGATACAAATGAGATTAAATTTTGAGCAGGGTTATTGCGAATAAAGTAATCTTAGAAAAGAGAAATAGTTTTTTGTAACTCATATTGTAGAATTTAGACAAAGCAGGAACTTTTTATCATAACTGCAACACATATATAACTATTGAAACCTGTTGAAACCAAACCCTTTTGGGGCTCAAGATATTGAATGGATTACACAGGTGTTCATATTCATATTGAATTACTAAAAAATATAATTGTTATGTCTTGATAAATTTTGGTATATTCAGGTTTCAGTTTTATGCACTGTTTGGTCATGACAAAGTTTACCGTACTACTTGCTGTATTTGTGGGTAGTTAAATTTATTTTTATTTTCAGGCTACACATATGTCAACAAAGAGTCGACCCAGGTCAAGAGCTTCACAAAGACAGGAAGATTCCGTAAGTTTAATGACCAAAATATTTTTTTTCACCATCTTAATTCTAGTGATAGATCTCTATTTGTTAGGTTAATTTTTGAAAGGCTTGTAGCTTATTTGAAGTATGATAAAATCAGGGGATTTTTGCATAAAATTAATTGATTGATAAATATGTTGAAAGTTTTTAACTATTAAGGGTTATGTTCCAAGATATATCAAGCTTTATGAAAAAATCAAGTTTCAAATCTCATTTAAGGTCCACTTTAGATTTATACTTTTAACGAAAAGACCAGAAATTACAAATTTTTACATTTTTACATTTGCAATATCACTTCCTCCACAAAGCTTGTAAAATTTCACTGAAGTCTTTTTATAAGAATTTAATTTTAACTCTTATGTGTCTTGTACAAAACATGAAAAAGTAATAAAAAGTGAGAGAAAAATATGGAAAGAAATAAGGGAAACTATATTCATAGACAATGAAAACTAAAGGGAGATAATTGTGGTCTTGAAGCCAGATATTTTGATGTTTCTCTGCACATTCAGCCTGTAAAAAAGAAGATGTGGTATGATTGCCAATGAGACAACTCTCCACAAGATACCAAATGACACAGAAATTAACAACTATAGGTCACCGTACGGCCTTCAACAATGAGCAAAGCCCATACTAGTTGGCAAGTATTATTTACTGGTCTGGAAAAAATCTATGAACAATCTTAATCATAGAACTGTAAATGGAAAAATAAATTTTTCTGGACATGCATCCTGCACAGTAGAAATCTCTTTTCACTGCTCTGACAAGCATTGCACTGGTTTTGAATGTCAGACTTAGTCCTTTATGAACTTTAAAATTACTTTCTTCTGAAAAATGACAATATGAAAAGACTGTATTACTGACCAAAACAACTTCTTTCTTATGGGAGGATATAATAATACTAACATATGTGGTAATTTATAAATGATAATTTCAGAATGATTTTGGCTATGCGGTAACCCGGTTACTATTTTTAGAAGAGAGAAAGCACCAATCTGCAGGAGGTGGAGCTAACTTGGTTAGTTGTGGTGGTAATGGATGGGTCAGATTTTGGAATACAGCTAGATCAGAATTGATGGCAGAGTTTGTTGCTCATACACATGGTAGGTAGAAGAGAGAGGGAAGATACAAAAGAGATTTTCAAACTCATAAGTCGATAACAAAACAAAAATGCCATAGCAATATAGACAAAACGGATAAAAGACAGAGAACAATATACATACAAAACACAACGTAGAAAACTAAAGACTGAGCAAAGTGAACCCCACCAGGGGTGATCTCAGGTGCTCCAGATGAATAACCAAATCCTTCTCCACATAGGTTGTGTATTGAGGTGGATTCACTTACAAAAAAATCAAAAAGTAACATTGATTAAAATAACAGCATTGAAGTAAATAATTTAATATCTTTTCTTTCATTATTGGAAGACAATTTTAGTTCATATCCCTAGCAGAACTCAAAATAAAAACAAACTTTGAATAAAGTTAAAACTGCCATTTATGACTTCCATGAAACACATTCCTTCACGGAACATAATGCAATATCATATTTCTCCACTCTTGACAGTTTAAATATTTAAAATGCTTGGCAAGCCTACCAATTTGAATTTGAAAATTTAACTATCTGGAGTGGATATATATTATATCACACACGATGCTGTATTGGAATCTATATAAATTGGCTATAATTGCATATACATGTATTGAATTATCTTGTAGCTGGTAGTATTATAATGGCCATTGATGCACAGAACAGATATTTAGCCACAGGCGATGTTGATGGTAATGTAAAGGTCTGGGACATCAGAGAATATTGTTTACATCAGCAAGACGAAATTGTAACAGCGCCACCTAGTGAGTATAGATATCAAGGGGGAATAAATATGTTATAACATATGGGTAATATTTATTAATTTTAAAATCTTTGGGTTGGTCACACTTGGAGTAAAGCGACTTGTTCACACAATCAAAGCAATGATGTTACCTCCCATATAAGATCATTATAAGACTGCAGTTATAGATTGATAGGTTGATTCTTGACGCTTAATGCCACTTTCAACACTCTTCTATATCATGTGGGCCAGTTTTTCATTTGTGGAAGAAGCCAGAGTAAAACCATTGACCTTTGGCAGGAAACCTGACAATCCTGGTCATTTAAGATCAGAGTAAAAAGCAACTTGACTGCAGTTAAAAGATGACTGGTTAACTGTATAACAACATAGTGTGGATTCATATATTTTGGCGAACTGAGGAAAAAACGTCTTTTCAAAGACATTTTATTTTATGTTTTTTGGCAACGTTGTACACAAACTTATAGTTATTATGTACTTTGTTGAAAATTTTAATTTGTACTTTACCCATCAAACCCAGGAGAATTGTTATCTCATAAACCCAGGAGAATTGTTATCTCATAAACCCAGGAAAATCGTTATCTCATAAATCCAGGAAAATTGTTATCTCATAAACCCAGGAAAATCGTTATCTCATAAATCCAGGAAAATTGTTATCTAAAAAATCCAGGAAAATTGTTATCTCACAAATTAAGGAGAATTGTTATCTCACAAATCTGGGAGAATTGTTATCTCACAAAACTAGGAAAATTTGTTATCTCACAAAACTAGGAAAATTTGTTATCTCACAAATCCAGGAGAATTGTTATCTCACAAAACTAAGAAAATTGTTATCTCACAAAACTAGGAAAATTGTTATCTCACAAATTCAGGAGAATTGTTATCTCATAAATCTGGGAGTATTGTTATCTCACAAATCTGGGAGAATTGTTATCTCACAAATCCAGGAGAATTGTTATCTCACAAATCCAGAAGAATTGTTATCTCAAAAATCCAGGAGAATTGTTATCTCACAAAACTAGGAGAATTGTTATCTCACAAAACCAGGAGAATTGTTATCTCACAAATCCAGGAGAATTGTTATCTCACAAATCCAGGAGAATTGTTATCTCACAAAACTAGGAAAATTGTTATCTCACAAATTCAGGAGAATTGTTATCTCATAAATCTGGGAGTATTGTTATCTCACAAATCTGGGAGAATTGTTATCTCACAAATCCAGGAAAATTGTTATCTCACAAATCCAGGAGAATTGTTATCTCAAAAATCCAGGAGAATTGTTATCTCACAAATTCAGGAGAATTGTTATCTCATAAATCTGGGAGTATTGTTATCTCACAAATCTGGGAGTATTGTTATCTCACAAATCTGGGAGAATTGTTATCTCACAAATCTAGGAAAATTGTTATCTCACAAATCCAGGAAAATTGTTATCTCACAAATCCAGGAGAATTTTTATCTCAAAAATCCAGGAGAATTGTTATCTCACAAATAATGATGAATCCACAGTAAATTCCATGTAAAAATTTGTATTGTTCTTCATTATTTTAGAGCTAAAAAGTCAGTTCCAACCTCACGTAGATATGATTAATACCTTAGAGATGTGTGAACGTAATGGTAGAACGTTAGTGATATCAGCTTCGTCAGATTGTGGTGTGGCAGTGTATGACTTCCTAGGCAAGAGGATTGGTACCTGTGGTCAGGTGAATAGATTATAGATTTTTACAGCCATATGTGAACTACATGTGTTAAGGTTTTGGCATAAATTTTGCATTGGTCAAGTACTAGTAAAATAGAAATGTAAAAAAGAGGTGAGGGATAGCAAAGGGAGGATGAAAACTCATTAGTCAAAGAAAGACTGACCAAAATCATCGTAAATATCTAAAAATTAATTAGTCAAAGAAAGACTGACCAAAATCATCGTAAATATCTAAAAATTAATTAGTCAAAGAAAGACTGACCAAAATCATCGTAAATATCTAAAAATTAATTAGTCAAAGAAAGACTGACCAAAGTCATCGAAAATATCTAAAAATTAATTAGTCAAAGAAAGACTGACCAAAATCATCGTAAATATCTAAAAATTAATTAGTCAAAGAAAGACTGACAAAAATCATCGTAAATATCTATAAATTAATTAGTCAAAGAAAGACTGACCAAAATCATCGTAAATATCTAAAAATTAGGAACAGATAAACAAAGTACAAAGTACTACTTAAAAAAACTAAAGCTTGAGCAACACGAACTTCACAAAAGTCACTAAACTGGAAATACAATGTACAAAATTACTGGGTTTTTTTTAATATAAATATATTAAAAGTGACAAAAAATTTACTTTGAATAAGTCTAGTTCAGAAACTGTAATTCTTTATTAAAAAATAACTCTTTGTTAAACCTAACCCCAAATAGTTCAGGCCCTCCACAGAATCAATCTCCCCTACTAGTGAGAGCCTAAACTCTTTCTACAATTAAAACGTGTCACGAAGCCTGGATTTTGATTGGGGCTCTCCAGATATGTAAATTCTCAGTTAATTACAAATGATTGAGTATTTTTCATTGACTAGGCATTCAGAGGTTTTAAAATGCAATTGTTGAGCGGCAAAATATAACCACTGAATTATTTGTGTATATTAAACCATTGTTTTATTGTTGTATTTTAAACCATTGTTTTATTGGTGTATGTTAAACTATTGTTTTATTGGTGTATGTTAAACCATTGTTTTATTGGTGTATGTTAAACCATTGTTTTATTGGTGTATGTTAAACCATTGTTTTCATCGTTATCAGTTAATTTTTATGATTTGATTATTAGGAGGAGCATTGGAAAGTGGAACAATTTGACCCAGCAGAAGAGATAGAGGAAGAGGAAGAAGAAGAGGTAAGTACAACACTCCTCCCTAGAAACTTAGATTATTAGATGTTTTTTTCACGGAAATAGACTTTAATTATTATTTCCAAGTCCTAAAAAATTTCAAAGTATCGAGAAGTACTTGACACAGTTCTGTTAAGTTACTGTTTTTACAATGTACATTTTGATGTGTATGTTATATTTTTTATTTTTTACAGTACGTTCCTATTCAACTATTTTATCTTTTATAATGATTCAATTAACCCTATGATTGTAAATTAACTATGTGTTAATATCTGATTTTGATTGTATTGTAATTAGTATGTGATGGTCTCAGAGAAGATTAGTTTGTTGAAACTAGCTGTGATTACCATCTCTGAATAAAGAAATTACTATTACTATATTAATATAATAAAATAAGCCTTTAACAAACATTTCAGGGAAAAACTGTTCTATCTGATAATAGATATTTATCATTAAACCATGTAAATAGAAAAACATATTGTGAATTACAAAAAGGTTTAAATTGGATTCTGAATATTTATGCATTAACGGTGTACTGTCAAGTAATGAAGAAGAAAAAAAACTGATTTAGCGACAAGTGAATTTTTACATTAGAATTTACAAGAATATCAAAATATGTATCAAAACACTAAAAGTGATGAATGTTATTTTTTATGCGGTACTTCCAAATTTCTTGTTCTTTTGACATGATAAAAATTTACCCATTGAGAACAATTGAAGTTATTGCTCTTTCCATGCAAAGTATATATTATCATTTGAATTTTGAAGCTTGACTGTTTGGTTTTTTTTCCCTGTTTGTTGGTTTATATGCTATTATGTCAATGTAATGCACTTACTTATCGTACTGCAAGTCTACATTAGAACTTTTGCAAAGCTTCACAGATTTGAATGTTTCATTTGATGTAAACATATTAAAACTTTGGGTTTATTCCATTATTAACGTTCAAACCACTAAATACAGTACTTGTGTTAGTCTATCATGGATGAACTAACAAATAATTTTGGTGTGTATAAGAGAGCACTTATCAATTTTACTGCAGTTTTCATGAATCACATTTGAAATTGAATCAACATGAATATAATGATCTTGTGTATTTAACTTTATATTAGTGTTAAGAATGCTTATATTCCCTATTTGTAGTCTTCCTGTCTTCAAGTTAAATAGCTGGGAAACTGTAGCTGTCCTCAAATTGTCAAAAAATATCACAAGGACCATAGGAGTTATCATTCTGCAACTACAAAAGATATTGTTATTCACTTTTTAATCACTTTTCCATACTTGGAATTTCTTTTTCCAAATAAATCTCGGGCTATTTTTCTAATTTTTGTTTTAATGGAAATTCATCATAGATTATAAATAGAATTGTTATTAAAAATAGGAGGAAGAACAGGAGGAGAAAGAGACAGAAGAAGAGAAGCCATTACTGGATCAGGACTGGAAACCAGATGAAAGAGCAATATCTGATTTACAGGGATACAGGATACATGTCTGGGACAGTACCATTCTAGGTAAGATTGAGACACAAATAGATATTTTTTAGGTACTTTTGGTTATATAGCTTTTCAACTGTTTCGGTTCTTATACATCCTTGGCTTTCAAATATTCGGCTTTGAGCGTTCCTGATGAAGGGAAATCCAGAAAAATGCTTCGAACGCAAGAATTTATAACGTGTTGTTTTTATTTTTTAAATAGAGGAAGAAATTTGTGCAGGTCACCAATATGAAGAATGAAGTATGCATCAGTAAATTAGCAACACAATGACACAACAAATCAGAAGATATCTAGGGATATACATAAGTCTACAACAATAGACAAGTGTCAATAAAATTTAACAAAAAATTAAAAAATAAAGATTGAGTTACGTAAAGTCCACCAAAACCAATGGTTCTTATAAGATATTATTTGAATATTTCAGGAAAAGAATATCAAGAAACAAGAACAAAGAAAAGAGAGAGAAAACAGCCTGGAAATATTCCAGATTTACCTTACCTTCATTGGGAGAGAACAGGACACGCACCTGCTGGACCGTACTCTGTAAGTCATATAAGAGAACATGGTGTCTGTATTACATCAGACAAGCACCATCTGCAGCAGTTATCATTAGATACCATAATTTACAACTCAAGTAAATACTGTAGGGGCTGTTTTGATCTTATATTTTGGTCTGAGCTAGTTTATTTTAAAGACCTTATGTTAGAATAAGAACACCAACAAAAACATGATGCTTTGATATATTGGATAATTTTTAAAGTATTAGGTGTAATAAGTTTGTATATGGCCCAATTATTAGTGTAAATTAAAAAGTTATCATATATGTTTTTAAATTTAACTATAATGAGGAACAAGGTGCTTAGAAAATAAAAACAAATTTCACATTTAAAGAGTTACCATGACAAAATATGTGAATTTTGTAAAATTTCTTGATTTTTCCTTCCTTCACATTGACTTTTAGGTATATTTTGGATTGGAAAGTATGTGCCCACCTAAGGAACATTTATATTTGATTAGATTTTGTCATTAGCTTTATTAAAGCTTCTGGAAAATTGTTGTGCTGTTTCTTGCCGGTACAAGATGTTTCCACAGAGAAAATATGGATGGATAAATGCATAAATTAAGCAGTTTTCTTGTTTTCATGAAAAAGTCTTATATGATGATGCAATTGTGAGACCATAACATAAAAAATTGTGTGAAATTCAATCATATGCATTTCCAAACATTATGTGCAAATTTCAAATATTTCCTAAAACCTATGTTTTCTTTGGTAAAAAAAAACAGACTTGAATGCCCCTTCTTCCTTAGCTTACTGTAATTTCTGTTTTGTAGGCATTAGAAACAAAGGAATTACAAGACCTGGAGAATTTGAAAGTCTCCAAACAAGATTTTAACTATGTACCTAAACGTAAAGATAGTCATTTGAGGCTGCCTAAATTGCCTAATCTTGTCGATAGTAAGTATTTACATAAAGGAAGGAGTATTTGCTTGACTTACTGTATCCCAGGAAATTTTATACTATGATTTATATTTGTGCAATGTAATTAGGATGTTTGTGCTGTTTTACTGGTTTCCTCTATCATTGAACAGTTTGATCATTGTCCATTGTTTTTTGCCATGAAATTCAATGAAATACGGACAATTAAGTAACAGTTGTCCGATATTTTGTAGTTCTAGAAAACTATCAATAGAGGCAGTTTCAGTGTAAGAGGAATCTTAAGACTATATATTTGTCATTATTACAATTACTATACACATAAAAGTCTCTTATAATTTTACCTCAAGCATTTGAGGTTGTGGGTTTGGTCCCACAGTTGGGTCAAACCTAAGACTTGAAAATTTATATTTGCTGCTTCTCAGCTAAACACACAACATTTAGAATAAAGATCAACAAATGGTCTGGTCTGAGTTATACTAATGTGTCCCAGCAGAATGATTTGTTTTCTTGCAGACCATTGCCTTGTGAATTAGCATGGCCCATAACCCAGAGGTCTGTGGATCAGAACCACGCTCTGCTACCATTTGTTAACACATGTTAGTTACACCATTTTATTTATTCAAGAGACTATCAGCATCTTTAAAACAAACGTGTTCTTTACAAAGTCACCAGAGTTATCTTTCTTGATACATTAAATTGATCATCAAAACCAAACCCAGATTATCCTGTTGGTTTAGTACAAAGGTTTAATTTTTATATCACATTAATAACGTTTTCATCCTGATATGCATGTAATAATTGCCATTGGATATTAAACACCAATTCATTTATTCATCTATTATAGTATACATCAGGTCTGATTTGTCTAAATTATTGGTACATTCTTCTCTTGTGGTATCTGTTTGACAAAGATCTATAAAAAAATCATGTATTATTTATTACCGCTATTTTCTTATATTTTGCTTTATTCTTTTTGTGTGATTATTTACCATCTCAAGCTACTGAGTTGAGTAGAGTAGAACACTATGACATCATAATCCAACATCAATGCCAAGGATAAAGGCAATTAACCCATTATTTTTGGTCTTTCATCTCGTGGAAGTTTCACAGCTACATTTCATCTCAATGCTATCACCCTCTGATGTGATTGTAGCTGAGAAACTCCCTCTTGCTTTCAAAACTATAGATGATCTATAATTCTCTTGTTTTAGAAATTTAGAATGGAAATTATAAAGCAAGGGTCAAATTAATTATTTAACTGGATTACTGTTACAATTTAAGAGAAACGAAAGTCAAGTTCAGTCTTTTCTGACAAGAATGTGAGTAAACAGGTTTTGGGGCGACACAAAACTGGGAATAGTATCTCATATCTGCATTTCTTTACTTTAATAACCTCATCTTCCTATACTCATCATTATAGACACAGTATCTGTTCAGTTCAAATTGTTACTTGATAAAGAATTTGTTATCCAGTTCAAAATAAAATGAAGAAAGAAAACAGATTTTTGACTTAAGATAATTTTTCCAAACATTTTACCATCTTTTAGTACTGTAAATTCAGAAATTATTGCGATGTTTTTATTATTGCGAAAAATGCGACTGGGTTATAATCGCAATAATTTAAACTCGCATTTTGAAATTTTTTATATGAATTAAACAGGATTTTTCACAATATCGCAAAAATTAAAATCTCATTTTAGTCCAAAATGACAAAATCGCAATAATAAATGCACGCAATAATTTCTGAATTTACAGTATTTAGATGTGGAATCCATTCGTTTGATAAGTGAAGGTCAATATATTATTGATTCATAAATGTAAACATTAAAAATCACAAGTCAAAGAAGGATGATTGATTGATTGTCAGTTTCTAACTCCACTTTCAGCACTATTGGCAATATTGTGGTGGTCAGTTTTTATTGGTAGAAGAAGCTTTAGTGCCTAAAGAGAACCACCTCTCTTAGGCAGGAAAACTGACAAAGCTTATCAAATAAGATTGGCGTTGAACGCACCTGCCATGTGTTGGGCTCAAACTCACAATCTCAGTGTTGACAGGCTATAGTGATACTGTAGATGAACTACTAAAGACCACTCCCTCTCCGAGGCCCTTATAAATATAAGAAGGACATACTACAGGAATGATAGAAGTGAAAAAAAAACAATATTCAACAAAGAACTACACTGAAAACAATATTCAACAAAGAACTACACTGAAAACAATATTCAACAAAGAACTACACTGAAAACAAAAGTTTGATCAATTCGCTGTTTCAGAATGTAGTTTCATTTTGCATACCCCAAAATGAAAAGAATGATTCATACTATTGGTTGAACTTCCATAATTTTATAACTGTTATCATTATTTACATTCAGCTTATACAGAAATCACTATAATCTTGCATCTTTTACTATTTTTTTAAAAATTAAAAAAAAATCAGAATTTACAGTAACTACAATGTGGGCATGCATTTAAAGTATCTTGACAATGGTCCTGCTATTTATTATCTGCATGATAGAGAAGCAAAGAAAATATATCCTCTACCCATCTAACTGATAGGTGGAGGTATTGTATTTGGATGAAAATCAGAAAGTTTATCAATTGATAATTTAACATCAAAGGTGAACACAGGGTTATGTGAGCCATAAAAGATTGGTACTTTGGACACATCATAATTTTTTTTTACCATATAGAAAAGTTAAAACATAACTTAGAAATTGCAAATGATTGCTACTTAATTATACATGTAATTATGTATTTAAAAAGTGATGTTAAAGTTATGTATATTAATATCATAGTTAGTACAAATTTAACATACTTCTTGAAATACAAGATATCTCTTTTCACACTTTCCTTTCACTGGCTGGTACTTTTTGCACAAGGGAAGGGATGAATTTTCAATGAACTGTTTTCTTATCAACTAAAAATGGAAAATTGGGATAAAAATCTTGAAAATCTACTTATAATGAATATAAACTAGATGGAACTGATATTTTGTTCTTCTACAAAACAAAAATTATATTTTATTTGGTCTACATTCAAACAATTATCATATTCAAACATAAATACATTGCTAAATACTCAGACCAATGCAAAAAATCATTTGTTTAAAATCAAACCTGTTTATTTATATATAAACACTAATACATGAACACTATTGATACACACAATCATGTGTGTTTGTTTGCAACAAAAGAAATATGTAATTATATAAATAAATATATTATCTAATTACGTAAAGACTTTTGAATCTTGAAGAATTTGAACCAAGTCAGGAATATGACAGTTGTTTCCATTTCATTTGATGTGTTTGAGCTTTTGATTTTGCCATTTGATAATGGACATTTTGTTTCGAATTTTCCTTGGAGTTCGGTATTTTTGTTATATCACTTTTTACTACATCACTGCAAGTGACATTGCTGACAAATAAATTAGTAAGATAAAACAGATAAAAAATGGAAGCAGAGGAGGACCTTTTTTTAGTGACAAAAAGTTCCTGGGTTTGATCTACATAAAACCATCATAGAAAAATATTGCACAAGGTCAATATTGGACAAATTTCCCATACATGCAAGTGTTATAAGTACCATGCGAGAGTTAAGTTGAGGAAACAAAATGTAACAATTTATTCTATGTTTTCAGCTTTACAACAGCCTATCCCAGAGAAGGAGATTTTCCCTAAGTACATCCTTGACTTCGAAGCCAAGATGAAAAGTTACCATAAAATGCAGTTAGAACAACAAAACCAGCCTGTAAGTAAATCACTTGTTATTAGACTACCAATGACCTAATTTCTTACAATAATTAATGATTTGGACATTGCAAATATAAAAAATTAAAAAAGAAAGATATTTGCTATGATGAGGGTCTGGAAGAGGTTTATAGAATAGAGAATAATGGGCAGAAAATAAAGAATAGAGATATTATGAGCCAAAAAAAAAAAATATAGAATAGAAAAAAAAACAGCATAAAAATTCATTATACAGAAATGAAGATACCAATTCAGACCCTAATGAACACAAGTCCATCATTAATGACCATATAACTGATTATACCCCTGCTGTGGGGTAAACTGTTTAACAATGTCTGTCCCATGATATTTTAGTCACATTATTCCCATTAACCACAAATCACAGCTTCTTGAAATTTGGGTTCAGGCTTCAACATGAGCAGGCTGTACTTTGATATATAATTTTATACATACTGCATGGTCATGTATGAAATTTTCGGCTCATAATACTACGGAACTGGAGAATCTGAGCTTTCTGAAATTGAGCATGCTATACTGTGTGATGCATTTTCAGATCCATCACTATTCAACTTCCTGTTTACAGGGGTCTTGTATATTCTTACACATAATGACTATGCACAAAATTTTCATCACATTTTTCGCAGGAACTATAGATCAAAGGGCCTTAAAATTGGTATCAGCTTCATATGAGCAGCATAGTATGTGATGCATCTCACAACAAGTTCCTTATAGCGGGGATAACATTAATGAGCAACAGTTCATAGTACAACTTGTTACATTTGAAACCGTTTTCATTTTTTGACTGATTGATTGACTCTTTATTTATTTTCTTGTAGATCAACATCAGGAATAAATTAGCTGGAAGTTTGGCCAGTGGATTGACAAAGTCTAGTCTACAGAATATAGGACAAATGATTGGACAAAATACTTCTGTTTCTACTAAATCACGATCTGTTAAAGGACATAAAATGAGCCGAGGAGTCTCTAGGCGAACATCTGTGGTGTCAAGTGTTGATGCTTCAGTCATGTGATATAATTTAATTTTGATTGGACAAAATAATTCTGTTTCAGTAAACTTCAAGGACTAAAAGTGATCTAGGGCATAATCACAACAAATATTTATCATGCCTCTACTTTGTGATTTGTCTCTTTGTTTTTTGACTAGATGATCTTCAGTTTGTGTTAAATAACACAGATTTTCATTGGATAACACTTTTCAGTTTATGTGCTTCATAAATCATGATCTGTGTATAAGATCTCAAAACAACAAATATTTTTGATGTCAAGTTTTGAGGCGTGTAATACTGATTGTGATTGGCTGTCTTAGCCATGCAATACTTTCAAAACTGATTATCATTGGTTACAACTATCATGTAGTATCAATATGGATTGAATACTCAAGATGGAAATTAAAGCAAGATTTATTTTGTTCTGATGATAAAAAATAAGTTATGAAATTAAAATTTCTAAAAGATGATGTTAAAGAGGATTTCTTTTGCATTATCTAATGAACTTTCCAATGGCATTCAGATGTATCAGTTATATTATTTTTTATTAATTGTCATATATGCTTTATTGAGCTGTGATAAAGGAAAGTTTTAAATATGACATGATTTGATTAGGAATTAATACCTTTTACTGCCAAGTCATAAACAAATGAATATTGTTTAAAGAATACAACTTTTTTTCTAAAGTTTAGTTGTTAATTGATTTTGGCAGTTAATGAAGAAATTTGTGTAAGTTGACCTTCAATATGGTGGCAAAGGGAAATAACTCTTATCCAAATCATTTCAATCCAAAACTATCCATATGTAACATTAATAAAAAGAAATTTATTGAACTAAACTGCATATAGAAAGACATTCAAGTTTTTATTATTTAAAACTGCCATATAAATGTTAAATTGGACTGTGATATTAAATATATTCTGTTATATGCATGAACTAATGATGAGTAATTGTAATTATATTTATTATATTTTCTTGTTAATTTTTTTTAAATCTATATGTCTATTGTGATAATGAAAAAACCTCAATGTTTATTTGTTTATTTTAAAAATATCTATTTGATATTCAAATCTTACGATTTTTTAAATATCTTGTAAAAACTAATGAAGCATTAAAAGGAAAATGTCTTTTTTTCCAGTGTTGTCTCCAGTTTCTTTGTCAACCAATAGCAGTTTTTAATATCTCCTTTCTTTTCTTTTTGGCTTAAAAAAGCCATTTTAGATTTCAAGAAAGTTTGTCACAATTTCTTCATTGTTTATACACTCACCCATAATATTAAGTTAAAACCAATACAAATAACTTGATTATATGACCTTTTAAAATCATGAAGTAATCGTAAATTTACAAAATTATGTTTATGCACGAATTATCATAACTCAAAAATTGCAATAATGTTCCAATTTATTCAGTATTATTTATGAGTTAGCGTAGATTTCAATATAGTGAAAGTGAAATACACAGATTTTAAGTGCTATTTTAAATGTCTAGAATTGCAATATTTTTAAGATGCATTTATGTGTATTATATATGTCATCTGACTTCTGGTAATGTCTCTTTTCCCGTGTGCTGTCTCCAGTTTCTATGGCATCAAATTGTACTTGTTTCATTTTGCTGAAATAGAAGAACAATTTCAGATGATAGCTTTTTGTCTTGACTATTACACATGAGAGAATTAGGTTCTAGAAGTGCCAACATTGGAGTTAAATTAATTTCAACTTCAACTTTAAAAAAAATCCTAAATGGTAACAATTACAAAAGATTTCTTATCATTTCTCATCATTTGGCCAGAAGTTAGATTTGACATATTCATCTTGGTTAAGCTTGAGATTTGAGAATTAACTTTATATAGAAACTTCTTTATTGGCCAGAGGATGATTTACTGAAGACAGTTTTTTTTTATACTTAAAGAAAACTGGAATATTTCACTGTCATTCATATCATTGGTTGTTCATTTTTTATAACAACTTTACATAAATTTTTGAATAACTCTGACTTTTAAGTAAAAGAATATTTTTTTTTAAAGAGCAATTTAATATTCAGGTTTATAATGTTTGATGTTAAATTTAATATTCAGGTCATAATGTTTGATGTTAAATTTAATATTCAGGTCATAATGTTTGATGTTAAATTTAATATGTTTTGTATTTTTATCTGTTTGTCTAATTTTAATAAAATGTTACAAAGCCGATACTTTAATTTAAATTTTTAAACAGAAAATGTGTTATTGCAGTTGCTAGGTAACAGAATATTACAGTGTGAAAATGAAAATAATTCTTTATTGTCTCGCCTTGACAGAGTCAAAAAGCGAGACAAAGGTATGTTGTTTCCAACGGCGGCAGCGTCAACAATGTTTTAGTTTGTGATTAGGTCTAGTTTATGGTGAACCACTAGTGGTAGGTCAGTGATATTTGGTATGCAGTTGTATTAGCTTTGGCACATCTCATTTCCATGGGGATTATTTGGCCCTGCCCCCTCAGTCATGGTCTATTGACTTTGAAACTTTTGCTTAGTTTACATGTATTAGTTTGTGATTAGATCAGTTTATGGGGAACCACTGGTGGTAGGTCAATGATATTTGGTATGCAGTTGTATAAACATGGGCACATCTCATTTCCATGGAGAATATTTGGCCTCGCCCCCTCAGTCATGGTCTATTGACTTTGAAATTTTTGCTTAGTTTACATGTATTAGTTTGTGATTAGGTCAGTTTAAGGGGAACCATTAGTGGTAGGCCTATGTTAATTGGTATGCAGTTGTATAAGCATTAGCACATCTCATTTCCATGCAGAATATTTGGCCCTGCCCCCTCAGTCATGGTCTATTGACTTTGAAATTTTTGCTTAGTTTACATGTATTAGTTTGTGATTAGATCACTTTAAGATGAACCACTAATGTTAAGTCAATGATATTTGGTATGCAAATGTATTGGCATTTGCAAGTCTCGTTTCCATGGAGTTTATATAGCCCCACCCCCCTCATCATGGTTCATTGACTTTGAAACTTTTACATTGTTTGCAAGTAAATGTTTGTGTTTAGGTTTGTTTAAAGGGAACAACTTAGGATAAATCAATGGTATTTGGTATGCAGTTGTATTAGCATTGGCACATCTCATTTCCATGGAGATTGTTTAGCCATGTACCTTATAACTTACATGTTAAAGTATTGCTATTTTAATTTCAACATTTACATTATAAAAATTACATAAAGGCGAGACATATGTCTGTGTTAACAGTTTATTAATTTTGTGTGTCTAAAGCCCTCTTCTGGATTTACCTTCATCAGGAATGCTCAAAGTGAATATTTGAAAGCCAAGGTTGTATAAGAATGGAAACAGTAGAAGAGTTATATAACCAAAAAGGACCAAAAAGTGCAAAAAAAATAATAGCCAAATCCAGCTTTGCCTGAGGTAGTTGAAACCTTAGTTTCTTAATAATTTCTTAATTACTCAGCTGATGGTACCCTCTGGGACTGGTAGTCCACCACAAGCGGTATCGAAGAGCTATATATTAAAAGAGACCTAAAAAGAACAGACAAATGCAACTAAAGAACTGTGTAAATTTGAAAGCCAAGGATGTGTCTGTCACCAAGGTCCAGAGCACTGTTAGATAAGTGGGAGCTAACTCGTATGTACTTGAACCAAGGGACAGGGGGTCAGTCTATCGCTAGACTTAATGTTCTGATAGGCATTATAGGCTAAAATGCAAGGAAGGTTTTCATGATTTAATTAACGATAACAATTTAGATGAATGATGATAACAGTCATTTAGTAAACAATGCCAAATAATAATAATGATATTCTAATTAAGGTACAAAGTATAAAATCTAAATATCAAATCCAAAGTAAAACAATTTCTCTTTCTAATAAAATAACTGCCAAAACTACTAAATCATAAAATGAACTTATTTTCAAAATCCCAAAATGTAAAAAGTCTCAAAATAAAATGATTCTGAAGTATTTGCCAGAGCTAAAATATGAGTCAGAGATAAATTTTGTCTCAACATTACACAGTCATCAGGTAGACTGGTGGACAGTCTTGTAGGTCCAGTTACTCCAGTACATAACATGAGTAGTGAGAGGTTATGGTTCCAAAACACTGACTGCTTTTCCAAAATTTCCCAACGCTATTTATATTAAATCCAAAAATAAATCAATATGACTCGACATGTAAAAAGTATTCTAATTAGCAAAAATAGAAATTAATTAACAAAGCTGAATCCTATAACGTTTTGATAAAAACCTAAAATATCCTAGTGACATGCTAATTACAATAAATATTTCAAACAAATTATTTTGAACAAACTGTGACATGTAGAGTACTTGCCACAGCATAGGTAAAATTAATTAATCCAAAATTAATTAGAAATTTTACAAAATACAAACATAAAATTTCCTGTCTTAAAATAAAACATATTTTTATACAAAATAACAATAACAAAAATATGAGCCAAATAACACACCATGACATATAAGTACTTAAACATGTGAGCTATTTGACCAAAAGGACTTGCAAATATCCAAATCTATTCCAGGAACTGAAAATTTGAAAGCCAAGGATGTATAAGTACCTGGACTTATGAAGAGCTATATGTGCAAATGGGACCAAAAGAATAGCCAAATCTATCTATGAACATTTTGATGAAAGAGGTCTAGTGACTGTCCCAACTTTTTGTGTGGGCAGTACAAATTTACAACTCACTTTGCAGTACCCACTTATTTGATAATTGTCTAACTTTCATTCAGTAACTTGTATGAAATATTTGCCACTGGGTGTTAAGAGAACAACAATCAGTAATGATAATTTAGTGTCAATAGAGAAAATGAATTTTACCATTTAGCTGATAGGAAATTAACATATTCTTAAACTTTCATTTATTGAGATCTAAGCTTAAACAAAGATGTGTATAGTATTGTTTGTGAAACTTTAAAGCATAGGGTCTGGATTGGTTTTGGAGGGTTTCAACTCTTTATTCTCATTTCTTTTAGGTCATATTTCTCTATTCTTTAATTTTTTTGGCACAATATTCCTTAAAACATATCATTAGGATCTATTCTTTATTCTTGTGGCCCATTTTTCTCTATTCTTTTTTTTATTCTATTCAGGAACCCCACCCAGACCCAATTTATAAAATGTCATCAAAAGGAATTTGGCATTTTTTAAACATTAAGTGAAAAGTTGATTTACCAGAACAGAAATATTATATATATAATAATGCAATTATATTCAAATATTCAGCTCAACATCTGCAAGCTTGGCAGACAATGGAGGAGAAAATTGTAATTTTTATTACAGTCCAAGGCTGTAATCATATGATAATTGGGTCAATTGGAATGAAATATGCACCATTATCTATGGATTATACTTATTACACAACTATGATTAGGGAGCTACCATTTGATTTTTATTTTTTATGGGGGGGGGGGGGGGGGGGGGCTAGGATGAAAAGTTTGTCCTGCATTTTTTTTTAACTGTAATCTCTGTCCTGCCTTTTTATTTTTCACTCTATTCCGTCCTGCCTTTTTTTTTAGGTTATCCTGACTTTTTTTTTACCTAAATTGTCCTGACATTTTTTTTTTGCAAGTGTCACATCCTGCCTTTTTTTTCACTCACAACTCCTGTCCTGTCTATTTTCTTCAAATTTCATCCTAGCCCCCCCCCCCCCCCCCCCCCCCCCCCCCCCCCCCCCCCCCCCCAATACTTAGGTTGTGAATGTGAAACCTGCTTGTTGCAAGGTGTGTTTGACTCTGATCTGAATTGACTTGGATTGCTAGTTTTCCTGCCAGATGGTCGGTGGTATCCTCCTGGTAGTCTTGCATCCTCCAACAATAAAAGATGACTGCCATAATATAGCAAGGAGTGCTGAAAGTAGATTATACAACTGATTTTTATAGGTTGTTCTTATGTTGTGCTGTAACACCACTGTCTCAGGTTACGGGAGGGTTGAGCGCTCACAAACATGTTTAACCCCGCCACATTCTGTATGTGCCTGTCCCAAGTCAGGATCCTGTAGTTCAGTGGTTGTCTTTGGTTCATGTCTGTCATATTTGTTTTTCGTAAATTTTTTTGTTATTAATTAGGCCGTTAGTTTTCTCAATGATTGAATTGGTTTATATTTTTCATGTCGGGGCCTTT